CTCAGGAGGAACTGAATACCACTCGGGAAGAGCTAGGAACCATAAAAGGTGTACTGAATGTCACTCAGGATGAACTGAATACCACTCGGGAAGAGCTAGGAACAGTAAAAGGTGTACTGAATGTCACTCAGGAGGAACTGAATACCACTCGGGAAGAGCTAGGAACAGTAAAAGGTGTACTGAATGTCACTCAGGATGAACTGAATACCACTCGGGAAGAGCTAGGAACAGTAAAAGGTGTACTGAATGTCACCCAAGAGGAACTGAATACCACTCGGGAAGAGCTAGGAACAGTAAAAGGTGTACTGAATGTCACTCAGGATGAACTGAATACCACTCGGGAAGAGCTAGGAACAGTAAAAGGTGTACTGAATGTCACTCAGGAGGAACTGAATACCACTCGGGAAGAGCTAGGAACAGTAAAAGGTGTACTGAATGTCACTCAGGAGGAACTGAATTCCACTCGGGAAGAGCTAGGAACAGTAAAAAGTGTACTAAATGTCACTCAGGAGGAACTGAATTCCACTCGGGAAGAGCTAGGAACCATAAAAGGTGTACTGAATGTCACTCAAGAAGAACTGCAGACAGAGTCAGCTCAGCACAACAAGACAGGGGAGCAGCTGGATGCCACTCAGGAAGAGATAGAGACAGTAAAAGGTGAACTCGAAAGAACGGAGAGCGAGCTGCAGACAGAGTCAGCTCAGCACAACAAGACAGGGGAGAAGCTGGATACCTGTTCAACTTCCCTAACAAGCACACTGACCCAGCTGGAGACCGCTAGAACATTCCACAACATCACCAGGTGGGATGTCCTATACACCACTCCCTACTACAAGAAAGTGCTCACAGAGGAATTGTTCCAGCAACTATCTTCTAGTTGGGGAATGTTGGGTAAGTGTGAACATGTTTTATAATTGCTAATCTTATTATCACGCCAACCTCTGTCCTCTTACCTTATCAGACGTAATTTGACCGGACATAATTCTAAACGGGCATTAATGAACGCCAAGGCCTCCAACGTCCTCTCAATGTCCGTTCAGATACAGTTTGATATGGGGTCGTTCACATATTACGTAATCACTTTTTGGACCATTTTTAACCCCCTCGGCCCTCCCCCTTACATAGCTATCGTATCAAAATTACACTAGCGTAATCATTTGGAAACCGGAAACCCTCTCCACCCTCATATACAGACTTCAAATTTCAGGGAAGTTTGTAGGTGTGAATATAACAGAGGGTGTTGTCGACCACTTCCGCCAGTACCACAAAGAACCTGTGTGCGACGTCTTCGAGCAAGTCTCATATCCAATGTTTAGTAAGTTATATTAAAGTTATACTAGGAAATTACCATTGTGGCCGTGGGGCATTTGTGTATTGACGAAACCTTCGTTATTAAGTTAACAAATCAAACAATACAGTTTCTTTTTATCCTCACTTGATTAAAGTTATATCACACAAGTCCATATATACAATTAGACAATATTGAAAGTTAGGTAAGTTCCTCATTTCCCTCTATAGACCATAACTCAAAATAGACCAACTCAACAATCAACATGTTTACTTAAATTTATATCATTGAACGTATATAAATAACAATACGTTTTTTCAGAACAATTTGAAGAAATTGAATGGACTAGAGGTGTACGTGATCATCTCAGAGACATTCACTTGGTGAGTCGTGACCAAGACTCACCCTGTCAGAGCGATACGGAGAGCCATACAGAGAGCGATACGGAGAGCTAACTTACCAAGCGTAATAACAGACACGTGCAATTTTGCGCTTTTTAAAAGGCACGATTGATATCTCCGAAAAGAAGCAAACACCCCAAATTGCGTGCATTGCAAAACATTATTTTAAAAGCATGATTTGCAATTATACAAACCAATTGGAGTTCATTTCGAGGAAATTAACAAATTTTAAAACGTACGTCTTGTATTTTTTTATACTACGTATATAACACCAAAAATTTGGTAGAATGGACCGTCGCCAGCATCTTCTTTTTCCAGACAAAAAGAAATGATATCCATTTAAATTATTGTCCTGAAATGCAAAATGATACTGAGAATGAAATCGATCGTTCACTTTTCTCATTCATTCACGGGTGGCCTGAAAATTGTAATGATTTTAGGTTCATTTTACCCATCACAGTATCACACTTTGTTGAAATTTCTACTCCAATTAGCTGACTTGGGGTTTATCGCATATTTAGAGTCGATTACTGCCTCCTGGTAGTGCTCTTTAATGAATTATCAATTGGGAATGAATGAGAAAAGCGAGCGATCGATGTCATTTTGCATTTGACGTATTGAGAACGATAGTTCGAATTGATATAATTTCGTTTGTTTGAAACAAGGAGACATTGGCGACGGTCTACTCAACTCAATTTTAGGTTTTGGTAAAAAATGTATTAAAAGAACTCTACCAAAAATATTGAAGGTACGTATTTTGAATTTGAGTTTGACTATTAAGATATCTGAAGATTATATTTGGTTATTCATTAATTTTTAAGTGATGCTGTTTATACTTATAGTGTTCACTGCGATAGAATTATTTTCAAAATTAAATATTTGCGGCATGGTGTAACAATGGTAACAGTTTTAGAACCAAATCTTCTCTCAGATTTGAATAACTCTAAATTAAGTCTTATCATCGACAAAGTTAAAATTCTAACAAACTAAAACATATAATTACATAATGTATATCTTAATAGCTTCATTAAATTAGGTCACCAGCAACATGTATTATTCACGCACGTCCACTAATGACTTATGCTGTTAAATACACCAAAATTCATCAAAAACAGCGTACTTCTTCTAAAAAAGTGTGGCGAAATTCGCCACACAAGGTTTTTTGTGAGCTAAAATGAGTTTTCAACTCAAATCGGAACCCTTTATGATCTTGAAGCACTGAATTGAATTGAAGGCTGAATTTTTGAATCATTCATTTTTTAATTTGCATGCCATCCAGGTCTTACCAGAAATACCATAACAATGAACGAGTAATAAAAACCGTTTAGTAGTCGTGTATTGGGCCTATGGAGTCTGCATCTTGGCAATATCGTGGCAATATCTTAGACGTATTATAGTGGCGGTATGGTGGCCATATCGTGGCCGTATCGTGGCCGTATCTTAGACGTAATTATAATTAATTGCTTGTTATCCTAGCAATGAACTTAATAAAAGGGACACAATTTTTCTTCCGAAATGAACAATCTTTTGTAATGCATCTTATCTGGCCGAGCGAGAGAGAGAGAGAGACTAGAGAGCATCTGGCCGAGCGAACATCCTATAATAAGTTTTAATAATCAATAATAGGAGCCAATCTTAAAAGATCGCTTTATAAAACTTAATTAGTGTCAAATATCCAGGCCACTTTGGTTGCGGTTACGACCATAACAAGAATTTCGCCGTGGTTAAACCACGCACGATCAATTTTCCCTACGACGCGATGTACTTGTATTTTGTACCATTAATTCTTTCGAGTGCAGAGTAAAAAGTGTCACTGGAAAAAATAATAAATGAGTGGGATTCGCGCATGGTAAAAATTGACGATTTATTTGACCAATGTAGCGCCGCGCGCATCAACAATAAATGAATCCAGAAAATTGCGGAAAATAACTTTGCGAAGGAGGAACTTCACTGTAATTGATTAACACATGGCTAGCGTCGCGCGCAGCATAACAGACGCTTCCAATACACATAATTATAGGAGAGTGGTCTATATTGCAAAGGAGCAGACTTTTGTCGACACCGTAGGACCGTCGGGCCACCTCATATATCCAAACCCGATTACTTATTCCCTACGATCTTTTTGCCTTCGGCAAGAGTAGGGAAAAAAATTTGGTTGTGACGATACTATATCAGTAATATTAATAAGCAATAGTTAGTGAATTAAGAATGAAATATAGAGCTCTGGAATACAAACAATTACACAATGTAAACTATATTATATACAGATACAGAAAATTACCATGAATTACAAAGGGTTTTTATGTTTTTATGCTTTTTGTATAAAACATAGCAAGCCGTCGGTCGTCTTCGCACGGACTTGAATCAGTTTGAAAATGTAAAATCTCAAGTTGCCCTTAATGTCTCAGTCTTATCTCACTCTCAGTCTTATCTCACTCTACAAGTACAACACGGTGACAAGCAGCACGACCAGGGCGGTAACAGCGCTGTTAAACAGTAAACCAGTACCACTACCTCCCTCACCCTCCTCCTTCACTCCGGTTACTTCAGCAGCATACTGACCACCGTAGTTACCAGGAGGGTAATACTGACACACAGCGTAGTAGGAGTTGTATTGGTTCTGGAATGTAACGTAGCCACAGTTCAGTTGCTTGCTTGCTTTCCAAACCACTTGAAAATTTTGAAACAGAATTCAACAGAATTTTACCTTCTAAAACGTGTCCAAACTTGTTGTAAACATGCTACCATGGCCTCATGTGTAATATGAATAACTTCATACCACGATAAGAGTTCTGAACTTGGGGTGAATCCTTGCATAATCGTAAAATATACAGGACAAATTATTATTAGTTTTAAGAATGCTAATTTTATGAGGTTTCTCGTGCCACCCCGTTACATTATCTAGCGTTTAAACCTTAGCGGTTCGAGGTTAGTTCATATTAAAACTTATCAGTCCTGCTCTCGAAAGATCCAACTTTTGTACGCCAATAAATAATATTAGCTTCAATTCCCGCACGCAATCCACAGTTATGTTATTCTTGTTGATCGTATTCATCGTCTTGCCTGCTGTTGCCTCTGATGATGAGCAGTACACTGCTCTTCATTTTGGTACCTCCAGTAATGACTATATTGAATTTACTTATGATATGGCCCCGTTCCAAGACTCCTTCTCCATCTGCACTTGGATGAAACGTGTAGACACATCTGCCTCTAACCCGGTTGTGTTTAGATCTCATTGCTACTATTATCGAAGTAGCAATGAGATCTTGATAAGTTCTAATGGGATCTACAACCAAGTCGTAAGTGATGGAGATTTGAACGGTAAGCAGAGTGTGTTCACAACACCTGTCGGGAGCTGGTTTAACTACTGTATTACTTGGTCACTCGCCTCGAGGAGCACCAACCTGTATCTGGATGGTAACTTGATAGGCACAGGTACAACCGACTCTGAAAGAACACTGAAAATGGGAGGAACTCTGTTCTTCAATAGACTTTCTTACAGTCCAAGTTCTAGTTACATTTTCGGAGGGCAGATTTACCAGTTCAACATATTCTCTGAGGCACTCAGCTCGGCCGATGTAAAGAAAATAGCGGAAGGTGGGCTGTGTATGGACCTTACAGAATTCTCTGGAACTGGGGATCTGCGATGGGAATACATACTGTCCCAGTCCAGGAGCGGTTCTGTGAGAGAGGTAGAGATAGAGATTGATGATAATGATATGGTGGAGTGTTTAAAAACCCTATTAAAGAGGTCACAAGAAGAGCTGGCCAATGTTACTGGAAGGTTGAACGAAACAGAGAGTCAACTTAGTGAGACGGAGGTGAAACTTGAGACAGTAACCGGAATACAAAATACCACTCGGGAAGAGCTAGAAGCTGTGAGAGGTGAACTGAACTCTACTGAGGAGAAGCTAGATGTGGTCAGCAGTGATCTCAACAAAACAGAAGCTACAATGGAATCGGTAATCGGACAGCTGAATTCCACCCAGGAGGAACTGAATACCACTCGGGAAGAGCTAGGAGCTGTGATAGGTAAACTGAACTCGACTGAGGAAAAGCTGGATGTGGTCAGCAGTGATCTCAACAAAACAGAAGCTACAATGGAGTCGGTAATCGGACAGCTGAATTCCACCCAGGAGGAACTGAATATCACTCGGGAAGAGCTTGGGACAGTTAAAAGTGAACTGAATTCCACCCAAGAAGAACTGCAGACAGAGTCAGCTCAGCACAACAAGACAGGAGAGCAGCTGGATACCTGCTCAACTTCCCTAACAAGCACACTGACCCAGCTGGAGACCGCCAGAACATTCCACAACATCACCAGGTGGGATGTCCTATACACCACTCCCTACTACAAGAAAGTGCTCACAGAGGAATTGTTCCAGCAATTATCTTCTAGTTGGGGAATGTTGGGTAAGTGTGAACTTAATTTATAATTGCCACTCTTATAATCACGCCAACCTCTGTCCTCTTACCTTATCAGACGTAATTTGACCGGACATAATTCTAAACGGGCATTTTTTTAATAATGAACGCCAGTCGCCAAGGCCTCCAGCGTCCACTTAATGTCCGTTCAGATAAAGTCTGATATGGGGTCGTTCACATATTACGTAATCACTTTTTGGACCATTTTAACACCCCTCTCTCTTCCGTAATCAGTTTTACACATAGCTATTGTGTCTAAATTACACTAGCGTAATCATTTGGAAACCCCCTCCGATCCCCGGCCCCCTCAGCTGATCACGAAATATGTGAACGACCCCGGTAAGGTAACGCACACTAAGTCTAAAGGTATGGTGACTTCATAGTTCATATACATACTTCAAATTTCAGGGAAGTTTGTAGGTGTGAATATAACAGAGGGTGTTGTCGACCACTTCCGCCAGTACCACAAAGAACCCGTGTGCGACGTCTTCGAGCAAGTCTCATATCCAATGTTTAGTAAGTTATACTAAAGTTAACTAGGAAATTACCATTGTGGCCGTGGGGCATTTGTGTATTGACGAAACCTTCGTTATTAAGTTAACAAATCAAACAATACAGTTTCTTTTTATCCTCACTTGATTAAAGTTATATCACACAAGACCAATTAGACCATATTGAAAGTTAGTTAAGTTCCTTAAATAGACCAACTCAACAATCAACATGTTGTGTTAAGTTTATTTCATTGTATATGCGAAGTTGAGTTTTAACAGCCTATAAGTATAAATTACAATACGTTTTTTCAGAACAATTTGAAGGACTTGAATGGACTAGAGGTATAAGTGATCATCTCAGAGACACTCACTTGGTGAGTGGTGATCAAGACTCGCCCTGTCAGAGCGATACGGAGAGCGATACGGAGAGCTAACTTACCAAGCGTAATACCGGACACGTGCCATTTAGTGCTTTTTAAAAGGCATGATTTATATCCCCGAAAAGAAGCAAACAGTTATTTCTTACGTTTTTGATATCTGCAAACATCCCAAATTGCGTGCATTGCAGAACATTCTTTTAAAAGCATGATTTGCAATCATACAAACCAATTGGAGTTCCTTTCGAGGAAAATAACAGACTTTAAATCGTACTTGTATTATTTTATGCTAACATCTAAAATTAGGTAGAACGGACCGTCGTCAGTGTCTTCTCTTTCCAGACAAAAAGAAATGATATCAATTTAAATTACTGTTCTGAAATGCAAAATGATACTGAGAATGAAATCGGTCGCTCACTTTTCTCATTTATACACGGGTTGCCTGCAAATTGTAATGATTTTAAGTTTATTTTACCCATCACAGTATCACACTTTGTTGAAATTTCTGCTCCAATTAGCTGACTTGGGGTTTATCGCATCTTTAGAGTCGATTACTGCCTCCTGGTAGTGCTCTTTAATGAATTATCAATTGTGAATGAATGAGAAAAGCGATCGATGTCATTTTGCATTTGACGTCTTGAGAACGATAGTTCGAATTGGTATAATTTTGTTTGTTTGGTCTTGGAGACACTGGCGACGGTCTACTCAACCCAATTTTAGGTTTTGGTAAAAACCTTCAAGAATTCTACCAAAAATATTGAAGGTATTTTGAATTTGAGTTTGACTATTTTATATTAAGATATCTGAAAACTATATTTGGTTAGTCATTAATTTTTACGTGATGCTATTTATAGTGTTCACTGCGATAGACATATTTTCAAAATTAAATATTTGCGGCATGGTGTAACAATGGTAACACTAACAGCTTTAGAACCAAATCTTCTCTCAGATCTGAATAACTCTAAATTAAGTCTTATCATCGACAAAGTTAAAATTCTAACAAACTAAAACATATAATTACATAATGTACCTTATCGAACTTTATTTGAACGGACATTAATTGGACGCTGGAGGCCCTAGCGATCATTATAATGTCCGTTCAATTATAAAGTCCGCCAAGGTAGTTAAATTAAATATATCAAATGAATGCCTTTGAGCGTTTATTTTAATGTCCGTTCAAAATTATGTCCGTTCACAAAATGTCCGGTCAAATTACGTCCGATAAGGTATATCTTAATAATAATAGCTTAATTAAACTAGGTCACCAGAGTCCAGAAACATGCATTATACACACACAAACACTAATATATGTAATAAAGACCGTTTAGTAGTCGTGTATTGCGCCTATCGTTTCTGCATCGTGGCAATATCGTGGCAATATCGTGGCCGTATCGTGGCCATATCGTGGCCGTATCTTAGACGTATAGTGGCCGTATGGTGGCTGTAATTATGATTAATTGCCTAGGTTATCCTAGCAATGAACTTAATAAAAGGGACACAATTCTTCTTCCGAAATGAACAATCTTTTGTAATGCATCTTATCTGGCCGAGCGAACATCCTATAATAAGTTTTAATAATCAATAATAGGAGCCAATCTTAAAACATCGCTTTATAAAACTTGATTAGTGTCAAATATCCAGGCCACTTTGGTTGCGGTTACGACCATACAAATTTGGTTGTGACGATACTATATATAGTATCGTCACAACCAAATTTGTATATATAAGTAATATTAATAAGCAATAGTTAGTGAATAAAGTATGGAATATGAAGATCTGGAATACAAACAATTACACAATGTACACTATATATACAGATACAGAACATTTCCATAAATTAAAAATCGTTTTTATAATTTTATCCTTTTTGTATAAAACATAGCAAGCCTTCGCGGTCGTCTTCGCAATTTGAAAATGTAAAATCTCAAGTTGCCCTCAATTATGTCTCGCTAGTCTCAGTCTTATCTCACTCTCAGTCTTATCTCACTCTACAAGTACAACACGGTTACAAGCAGCACGACCAAGGCGGTAACTGCGCTGTTAAACCGTAAACCAGCACCACTACCTCCCTCTCCCTCCTCCTTCACTCCGGTTACTTCAGCAGCGTACTGACCACCGTAGTTACCAGGAGGATAATACTGACACACGACATAGTAGGAGTTGTATTGGTTCTGGAATGTAGCGTAGCCACAGTTCAGTTGCTTGCTTGCCTTCCAAACCACTTGAGTAAAGTGCCCCGTTACTCCGCCCTTGCTGGCACTCTTCCCAAAGTCCCAGTCTTTAATCTCGTCGTACCATGCTTGCGTGGATTTCGTGTACGCTTCTTCCTGTCCAGGGACTGTCCCCGTGGTTCCAGCGTACGCCAAATTTTCACCATAGCTTCCCCCCGTGCTGTGTTGCATGGTCTTGGCATTAGCCATGGCCTGGGCCCAGGACTCTGCTGTGAAGGTGACGTCCTCACCGCTCTCCCCGTAGCACAGGTCGGGGGTGTCCTGGTGGAGGGTTCGTAGTGAGTTGTGCTTGTCCAGGATAGCAAGCTCGAACTGGTTTAGGGCTCCTGACTTGCAGGCTCCTTCAATTGTGGAGAGGAGTGGGAGGAGAGATAGGAGTAGCTTTATTGTTGCCATCATTGCTGGGTTATATTGTTGTCAGTTAGTGAAATTGTTGCTATAAATATATCAAAAGCCTCCTTCAAGCATTGAAAAGCAAAAACATAATATAAAAAGTCTTGTTTGAAGTTAAAACAATTGCTATCTAAGAGTAAATGATGGTTCTGTATTCGACAAAAACTGTAAGTTAGTAGGTACAAAGTACATAATATGTATGACAGTATAGGGAATCTCATTCTACACCAATTGTACTGTAAGTATAGTACAGCCGAGAAAACCTGGTCGCTAAAAGTTCGAAAGTGAAATATATTTACAGTTTCAATAAAAACTGAGCCAACTTTTCGCGGCTTTGCAATAATAATATACATTTTGCAATATAGCTTAGCTGGCCGGTAAGGGAGAGCGAGATAGTATTGAACTTTAAATATTATTAAGTAGATGAATATTGTACCCCGCGAGATGTATATAAATATTGCAATTCGGCTTCCTGTAATTGGCTGGTTACACTTGTATAAATATCTCCGGGATTTCGACGCGGGATCATATTATCACTCAGCCCGGCCCGCTGTTAGATAAACATCTCAAGGTGATATCATCCCGCCCCGGAAATTTGTATAAACCCGGCCCGCTTTTTAGTCGTAACTGATGTTTATCATTCAATTCTCCGACTTACAATAATCAATGATACTGCTGATTAGAACTCGACAATAGTAGAACAGTTAGACGCGCGATCACGTGGGCGCGTCACGTGCGTACCACGTGCCACCAATAGCATACGCCGAGTCTATACCACGTGACACGAAAGCGCACCACGTGATATGAAACATCGTAACCATCCACTTCTTTTACACGCAAATTCCTGGGAACGTTGCCAAAGCAGCTAATTCTTCGAATTTCTCCAACGCGTGGCGTGAGAAGTTGGCGACTAGCCAGCTACCCTTGTCCGTGCCCTAAAAATAGTATTGTTTTGCTTGCTCTCCTTCCAGCTCTTGTTCCTGCTAACGTTCAAGCTATTGCTCCACTATGACAGATCGGTTTGACATTCAGATTGATGAACTGCTTTCCAATCGTGTTCCGGACAGTACAGTTAGAGTCAACAACTGGGCTCTAAACAAATTTAATTCTTAGAGTCAGCTCTTGTTCTCTCTTCTAAAGTATAAATCCCTTGTCGAAATCGCCGGAGATAATTATAATCCATAAACACTTCACGCTCAGGTCTATATAAATGTAATCCCTCAGCTGGCGCTTCGGGATTACATATTAACACAAAACTCGTGCGCTGCGCGCACTCGTATGTGTTTATCAGATCATCCCGCTAGCGCGGGATGATCTGTTATATAAACCCTTTGCGTGGCGGGTTTATGTTATTGTAACAATGTGACTGTTGGAATGCCCGTAAAGTAAATAAGTGTAAATAAGATAAAATTATGAACATTTCAAAACCTCTATGAACATTGGACAAGTATGCCAGTTTGCCAGTATGCCAGTATGCCAGTATGCCAGTATGCCAGTATGCCAGTATGCCAGTATGCCAGTATGCCAGTATGGTTGACCCCCGGCCAGTACCCACCAGTCTCCAGATCTACATTAAACTAGCTCATTTTTGAAAAAATTCTAGTTACTTGTTAATAATAACATAAACCCGCCACGCAAAGGGTTTATATAACAGATCATCCCGCGCTAGCGGGATGATCTGATAAACACATACGAGTGCGCGCAGCGCACGAGTTTTGTGTTAATATGTAATCCCGAAGCGCCAGCTGAGGGATTACATTTATATAGACCTGAGCGTGAAGTGTTTATGGATTATAATTATCTCCGGCGATTTCGACAAGGGATTTATACTTTAGAAGAGAGAACAAGAGCTGACTCTAAGAATTAAATTTGTTTAGAGCCCAGTTGTTGACTCTAACTGTACTGTCCGGAACACGATTGGAAAGCAGTTCATCAATCTGAATGTCAAACCGATCTGTCATAGTGGAGCAATAGCTTGAACGTTAGCAGGAACAAGAGCTGGAAGGAGAGCAAGCAAAACAATACTATTTTTAGGGCACGGACAAGGGTAGCTGGCTAGTCGCCAACTTCTCACGCCACGCGTTGGAGAAATTCGAAGAATTAGCTGCTTTGGCAACGTTCCCAGGAATTTGCGTGTAAAAGAAGTGGACGGTTACGATGTTTCATATCACGTGGTGCGCTTTCGTGTCACGTGGTATAGACTCGGCGTATGCTATTGGTGGCACGTGGTACGCACGTGACGCGCCCACGTGATCGCGCGTCTAACTGTTCTACTATTGTCGAGTTCTAATCAGCAGTATCATTGATTATTGTAAGTCGGAGAATTGAATGATAAACATCAGTTACGACTAAAAAGCGGGCCGGGTTTATACAAATTTCCGGGGCGGGATGATATCACCTTGAGATGTTTATCTAACAGCGGGCCGGGCTGAGTGATAATATGATCCCGCGTCGAAATCCCGGAGATATTTATAATAATATTACTTGCTGTATATGATCTCAGTAGCTAGGCTAGTCTATAACTATTAACTATAAGCAATAGCTAATTGTCCTGAAGACTTTTCTACTTTAGTCTTAGATCGTTCATAATATGTAACAACAACAACAATTGTGATTAACTTTTTTTTAGCTCGTATCTGTGGCAATCAAGTTGGAACTGGAAGCTGAAATTGAAAAATGATGACTTTAGGCGCCCTAGAGGCTTAATCTTAGGAAAATGATATCGAGTCCGTTCAATCATAAAAAGAGTTAATAGCAAATCGTGAAGGTCGATTACATCCACAGTCGATAAAATAAACATTGTCGATAACATCTGTGAAATCTATGTGCAACGACAAAATCCATGACGACATATTTGTACTAAAAACAACACGGATGCGGTAAAGTTATATCATTATCACTATGATTGCAGAGCTACTATGAATGTGACAGTGCATTGGGCGTTGGTCATGATTTGTTGATTTTTTTGCCAAAATTTACCATAAAATCTGCTTATTGCTGTATGGAGGAAAATTTTCAATCGGGGCTAATAACACTATGAAGTGTTAATTAATGTAATTAGTCCACTTTTTATTAACTCAATCGACTAATAGACTGACGAGTAAAGCATGTAGTTGTAACTTGCACACTGTCCTGTGAAAAAGTGGACTAATTTCATTTTTGCAGTTTGTAGCTAGAAACAACGCTGACTAATACTAAATTGCAATTACTCAATTATTGTTAGCACAATGTTCACATGGGTGATGGCGTTTGTGTACTGTTGCCATGACAACTGTTATTTGGCAGAGTTGAAATAGGCTCTGTTGATAATATCATCATATCATAAATTCTAAATTTATCAAGTTAGCATTATTATAGGTGGGTTAAAATTAAAAATAACAACCAACTTTTCGGCAAAAAGATGGTTCATGCAGAATGTGATATCATTTTCAAACGCAGAATACAGTCCAATTTTTGGTAATTTCGAAGCAGTTCAACGGTTTGTAACTCAAGATAAGTGATAAAGGCATTAAATGAAGCAAATATAACTTGATAGTAGATATATTGTATACGTGACACGATTGTTTTATACATGACACAACTGTTATTGCATGCGATTTATTTTGTGCATGTAGCTCAATTTCACTTGAAGCTGTGCAAAATCTATCCATTACTAAAATTTGATAGAGATCAACTGAGTCGCCATCCGAGGTGACCATCACTTTATAGGCATTATAATTATATGAAGCAAATATAACTTGATAGTCGATATATTATATACATGACACGATTGTTTTCTACATGACACAACTGTTATTGCATGCGATTTATTTTGTGCATGTAGCTCAATTTCACTTAAAGCTGTGCAAAATCTATCCATTACTAAAATTTGATAGAGATCAACTGAGTCGCCATCCGAGGTGACCATCACTTCGTGGGATTTCTATATTAGTGGATTAAATTTTATTGCAATAAGTAATAACTAGCTAGAGACACTTTTAGTTTTAGGTTCTATAAATGTCACCATCACTTCAAGTTAAATTACTAAATGGTCGGAATGGCGCCATCGTGGCTTCGGTTCAATTTTCCCATTCATTTTAAAATTTCCAAGACACCATACAGTTGATGGCGAAAATGAAAATAGTGATGACAACCTCTGCCAAAATTGTAATCGTTCAGCATGGTCGGTACCGGTCACCACACTATTGCTATTAGCGCAATTAAGTAGTTCCATAAAATAGTGATGGTGATTGGTCGGACATCACCATCCGACCTCGAGCAAATATTACTGATTTTATTAAGTTTGCGTTGCAGACTTTACAGTCCGGTTTGGGTTAATGGCACAACAAGGTACAACAAGGTACAACAAGGTACAACAAGGTACGGTTAATGAGAAACTAGTCTTGTTTTCTCTGCCAGTTGGGGTTACTGAGGGTGAGACATTACTAATCGAGCTGTATCTGTGATCGGTAGCTGAGTATGATGTTTACATGAAGTAATAGTGTAACCCGTGCCTACGTTATCGTAGTTGAAATCCAAAAACCTGCTTATTATATTCGAAAACAGGCATTACATTTTCGTAGTTAAAACGGTGCGAAAGTATGAAGTCGCTCAGTCCAAACAAACTGCAATTTAATCCTGAGTGCCCCTCACGTATCTTATACTCTAATAGTAATACTTAAGAGGCAATCTTGATGTCCACTGCCAAATTACCAAATTATATAGCAAATCTTTTTTATGAAGGGGGGGGGGGGGGGGGGGGGGGGAGAGAGAGAGAGGGAAAGTACATGAGACACTTTAGTATCACATTTGGGTCACAAAACCATCAATTAAAACCATTACCACCGTCCGATTTAAAAAACCTAAGGATGTTGGGCTTCGTTGCAGGGTTTTGTCGACATTATACCGAAAAAACCAGCCACGTACCTCTTACCCTTTTCTTGATCAAGCCATTCGTAAATTAGCCGCACACACACACATACGCACACACACACAGATTTATTGCTATTATTAATATAGATAACGGTACTTGTGTGGAATATCAAGGGGCGGTAATCTTAGGTTTAGATTGGTTAAAATAGTGCCATCCGTCCAGGCGTTACTGATATTATTAGTGATACTAATAATAACATAGTTATCATGGACAGTAGTCCATTAAAAGAATTGCAAATAGATGATACTGATACTGATAGCAGTTCGAATTTAAAGTTAAACAAAGAAACAATGGCTGAGCTGCACTGCCTTGAGGACACAACACCTACTCTTGCTCCTTAAGCAAAACAATTTACAATAGCTTTTTTTTGTTACGCTCTCAAAGGTGTACGTTACCTTAGCATAGGACCAAAATTTAGCCTTAGTTTCACAGCTGAAAAATGCATTGGAGCAACCAGTTCGCCAAATTGGTTCGAGGAATGAATCCGATATTTGTTCGATATCACTCGAATATTCTCTGTACCTTGAAAATGAAAGATAAAAATATCTTAGAATTAAGCCTGCAGATTGCGAAAAGGGGATGCTAAGTCGATACTAAGAGCATAATATCATTATTATAATTCGTCACAAGATATGACCGGAGCTCCTACGCGATTGGTCATAACTTCAATCACTTTGAAATTTGAGAAACTGATCATGTTTTTCTGGTACATTTGAATTAAGAAGTGTTACCAGACGGCAATATAAAAGTCTCAAATTATAGAAGCTGCATGTTTGTCATGTAGTTCATTAGTCGATGGCGGAAGCTTTGTTTGAAACTGTTGGAAGGTAGGTCGAAAGAAAATTATTTTATTTTTTATCGCAATTGTTAATTTAATTTTGTAATTGTAGCACAAATAAGTGTTTTTTGCAAAATTTCTATTTTAAAATTCCGGTTTACTTGGTGGTTTTAAGTTTGCACCAAGAGCCGCCAAAGCTCATATTAATATTATTCCTCGCCAATTTGAGTTGAGATGGTAGCCGAGAAGGCATCCTTTTAGCGGACCGGAATAATCACACCGACCTAGCCACAAAGTGCTATCAGCATCATTCATCCTTTCTTTGATTATGTTAAATTCAAACTCCACGTAATCTTTAACTTCACAAAGACAGCTTGGAGCTTTGTTTAAAACATCGCCCTTTCGCGTACCAAGCACACACGGCAATCTCCGAAATGTGTCGCAGAGTCGAGTTAGCTGGAGTTAGAAAGTGGACGAACCGAATATTTTACTGCCCTGTTAACGACAATGACTTCATTTAATTCAGACTTAACTCTTTTGGTTAAATGTTCAATGATTTCTTTAGCTGAACACTGCTCAGTGAACACTGAAGGGCCGGCTTCATTTTAAGTTCCCTGTTTGAAAGTTGAAGCTTATGGTAAGGAAGGCTTTTTATTAAATAATGTTCCTTATGTATGGTTATTGAGAGACAATTAAGGAAATGCAGTATAAATCTAAAATAATAAATTTAATTTATTTCAAAAAATAGAAAATCGCAATCATTCGTACAGTTGTCATTCTCATTCATATAAACAAATTGTTAAAACTCAAATATTTTCCATTCCATAATCCATTATTCATTCATCAATGTCAAAAAAACCCTAATGAATGCTCCCTGTGTCCTTGATAAAGCGTGGCAATTTGGATTAAAGATATGAAAATGGCAATATTCGTACAATTATATCTGGGCTACCTAATATAGTCAGTAAGGCCCGATAAAATATATTTGTAAACAAACGCATATTGACACTCCTGCACGCATGGCCGAAGATACTTTATCGTAATTGACTCAACACTCAACAGTATAGTTTATCATTATGATAAATCCAATTAAGGTTGATCAGTCATCTAGAATTTCAGTACCCCATTTTTAAAGCCAGTCTGAAAGCTTCGGTAAAGTTCCTTCTTCCAGCCTATCAGTCTCATCTTAAAAGAGTCGAGATACAAAATATTTGAATAAAAATCAGGGGCTCAATAAATCTTCATATCATCGATTTTCTTGTCGAATAGGAAACAAGAATGCTTGCTGAATAATCTAAACGTAAAACGTAAAGTATACTAAACGGGTCGCCTTCCGGGAAACTTTGTATTTCCATGGGTTAGAATTAATCGTTGTAATTTTACATAATCACCTTCGGTAATATTATCAAATACGGCATTCAGGCGCTGATCCTCAATTAGTTTGAGCTAGGTTTAACTTCAGTAGAAGATCTGACCACTATCCTAAAGGTTAATCTATAATAACGGACATTTGTCATCTCCTGGATATTAGTCAGTCAAATCCTAATCTATCTGATCAAATATTTTATCACCGCATGATTAACCGCGTAAAGATTTAATCATATTTTTACTGCAACTAGAACCTTTCAGAAGTATCAATATTTACGGAAAAATAGTCAGAGTCTACGCCTCAAATTTATTATATCTTTCGATGTCAAATTAATGTTCATATTTCTTATGTACGACCAACAGAGCTCAGCGTTCATCCGCACAATAATCTGACAATTCTCATTTGCCTTTATTTGCACCTTCGTTAAATCACGTGATCGGGGACGGTCTCCACTAGGTAACCACGAGTATTAGTTCGAGAGAGAATGAGAGAGGTCTCAGAAATCGTCAGCCGACCTGACTTCCATGTAGACGGGGTAGTTTTTAGAGGATCCTCTTCCTCTGTACTCAATCGTGTAGCCAAAACTGCAAAACAGTCACTTTTAAGTGTGGAAATCGGAAATTTGATGCGTTCAAAATCTATTGATTTAACAGTATATTGCCGTGTAGTATGAATATTCGTTTCGAAAAAAGTATACTCAATCTTTTTTACAGTCCTACAATCCACAAAATTATTTACTCTGCTCTTTAAAGTATTTGTGGTACTCATACCTGTGTATGGCTTCGGCAACAGAGAATCTGATGTCCGTTGTAACGTAAACAGTGTTCCCCATCAGCTTTACTTTTCCGCCCCAAACCTTGAAAAGCAAATAGTTACAAAATATATGCAAACATTCATTGGGAGTTTTATCTTGATCCTTTTCCAACAATCTAAACATGGATCTGTGATAAAAATGAATATTGATCACAACTTACTTAAACACTGGGCGTTTAAGTTTAAATTAATAAATAAGAACCTAACTCAACAGAAACAGTTCTGAAGTTTATATGAACATATTAACGGCATAGTTAAAAAACACCCACCTTTCTTATACGTCTTATTTTCTTGTTGTACTCGATTGCAACCATGAGCCGTTCCGATATAAACTTTTCTGCAGTTTCAAGAAGGGGGAGCAACTGTATAGTTACCTCTGATCTCCCTCTTCTGGAAGCCTCTTGGTAATCAATAGTACTGCAAGAGTTGGATTTATCGTTTTTATAGGGAACTTAATGTGTCATAAAAATGCCTTCTTCCTAAAAATATTGTTTCCAACAGGGTATGTATCTGACTTGGTATCTGATTATTCTATCATTAATCCCCGCATTTCCTCGACTTACTATTTGTTCCTAGACTCTTGGGGTTCGGTGGTGAGGTAGCTAGTTGTGAACTCTGTTCTCTCAGTATTAACAGGCTCCTGAAAATACAGACAATATTATGATCAAAGTTGTATTCTATAAAGCGCTGGGGTTTAGCGCGCCCTAAAAACAGTCGAAACAATGTGGGAAGGGATTTTAAAGCCTGCTACCAGTTAATACCCAGCCAGCTACTACCCAGACTAGATTATTCAACTAATCTAAAGCGGTGACTTACTGGCTAGTGACCGGCGAGTGACCGGCCAGTGACAACTGACCTGCAACTTGCTGGCTACTTTGTCGGATATTGAAAATAAGATGACATTGGCACTAATCGTGGTAAGATAAGGTTAGTAGTTAGGTAGCAAGAAGCCAGCACAGTGTGCACAGCTAGCTAATAATCAGTTTGTGGCTACCAACCAGTTAGTACTCAATTAGTAAACCACCTAAACTGAAGCTATTTCGGTAGATAGTTGTTTGCCGGTATCCGGCAAGGAGTCTCATCCGGCCCTTATAAGCGACAAAGATCAGTCGGTATAATGAATGGTTACTAGCCGTATTTAAGATTTATATAGTGACTCTTAAGAGGTTGTTAGGCGGTTGTTAGGCGGTTGTTAGGCGGTTGTTAGGCGGTTGTTAAGAGCCTGTTAGGCGGCTGTTAACCGGCTGTTTACCGGGAAGATTTATATAGTGACTCTTAAGAGGTTGTTAGGCGGTTGTTAGGCGGTTGTTAGGCGGTTGTTAGGCGGTTGTTAGGCGGCTGTTAACCGGCTGTTTACCGGGGGTTTGTGTTTGAGCTGTAGCCCTGCTGAAACAATCTCTGACACAAATCTTCAAAAGGAAATTGTAATGGCTTGTTGTCGGTAGCTTAACTCAGATCACTAATGAGAATTAGATCACTGTTATTAATATTATAGTACTGTTATAGTGTCATCGGCCTTGATGAAAATTTAAAATCAACGGGCACCTTTATGTTTCAGAGATTTTTATAAAATTATGAAATAAGAGGGAGATAATTTTATAATTTTGGAGGGTTGAGTAATTTGATTTTTTTGTCGTCTCGGACCAGGATCTTATCCCAGAATTCGTCACGTACCACTAACTTTCTGTACGCGATTCTGTACAAGCCCGGTGGTATGCTAGATCGTGTGGAAGAGTTAGCGACTAGGAAAATATAACATTTTCATATGTAGCGTTTTTATTGATCTGTCACGTCATGATTTACTAAGTCAAAGGACTATAATAATTTCCTTTAAAGTCAGACAATTGTTAATAGCGTGCCCAGTTTTTGGCGCACTGATGACAAAGTCTTTGATCTGTCACAAACTCTCTTTACAGCCCGGTAACAATTTGTCATGGCAGAAATAAATATGCCATATTCAAAAGATGAGTCTGTTAAATTCCAATGTTGGGCAGTTGTTGATAGCCCGGATATGCGTGACGGAAACTGTTACCTTGAACTTGACCTTGAACTTGATAACGAAATAACTATCTTTTTTCCGGCAGCGAAACTAAGTAATCTAGTAAATCTGAATGAAAATTACTGCGGTGATCAGCGATTGAATGGATTCAATTTTTGTAACAAAAGAATTTTTAACAAGTCGTTAAGAGGATCGTGTTCAAGTGAAATTGATTTCGAGGCTGAGGCTCACGATTCACGCTTAAAACTATTTTCTCGTTAGCTGCATATGAGGGTGTCCAAATTTAACAGATTGGCGGCTTTGCTTGATGCAGATATCCCGACATATCATCGTCTGACCATCTTCGTGTATTTATAAACTTTAGTAAAAGGTGGAAGAAGAAAAGAACGATGTTAAAATGCTAAAACGTATGACTGATGAACAGGCTCTCCTTTCAACTAAGCTTAAGATGGATATGTCCAGAAAGGGTTTGACATGACTAAGGTCTTTATCAGAAAATAAACCTCAATGTCAATCCGGTCAATCAGAGGGCCACAAAAAATGAACCTTGCCTCGATCTTATTGAACGAAGGAAGAGCCGCCTCATTTGGCCCCATTCAATAACAACTCACAATTCTATGGAATTGCTAACTCAAGATAATTTTGTGATCTGGTCGGATTTTGTGACCGCTAAAGATTTTATAGAAATTGTATAGTCCTCCCCAATATCAGAGGATAAATGATCAGAAGAATGATATGCTCTGTATCATGTGTTAAGCTAAAGTCATTCCCACGATTTAAGCTCTTTTAGGCTTTCGAGTTTTAGACCGGATGCTGATAAATTAACAGAACCCCTACATGTATGTAGTATTGCCAAATCCCAGTTCAATTTGTAACGGAGTTTTATATTAACAGGAAACGATGTAACAGAGTCGATATATTTTAATGTTGCCATGGGGTGGCAAGTCCCCATAGATCATAGTCGGATAGTTTCATTGGGTCTTAATATACCTGTAATTCTTGTAGACTTTCAAACGGAGCTACAGTAGGATAGTACTGAACTGAACTTGTTTGGCAGATCAGATACGTGATTATCATGTTACCTGAGCCGAAACTTAACCTACCGTAAAACATGATAAATTTAACTGATATATCTACAGTATTTAAATTGAAAGTAATATGCTGTAGTACAGAGGAAAATGGCTATTTATTTGGTTATTTTATTATAGTGAACACTATTTCACTGTGGGGACGGATCTGTACAAAATGAACAATAACAATTGAGAACCAAGTCGATATGGTGGTGTTCTAAAAGTCCTGTAAATTATAGTGGCAGCAGAGCAAACAGTAAAGTGCCCATTTTTTATTTTGTTGATACCTATCTTGACGTCAAAAATGTTCGGTAAACTTTTTGATTTGTTGCCGAGCCCGAACCGATCAAACAAACTAGTAAACACATCCATTCAATCGTTTCCTAAATCACTCCCAGTTTTAGTTCTTGCGGCCTACTTATCCTAATCCAACAACGAACTTACCAATCTAGCCAGTGGTGACTGGCGAAACGTATCTATGTCATAATATGTGCCACCCCCTACATTTTGCCACCCCTTAACATTATTCTAATGTCATTATAGAAAAGACAAAACTAACGCCTCCTTTTTGCCACCCTATAGCTTTTTGCCGCTTCCCGGGAGCAATTTGTTACCCCAAATATTTTGGTTCGCGTCCTCCGAACGTACAAGTGAAGCGGTAAATGCGCCAGTAGACTGTAACCTGCAATCAGTCAACTAACAAATCAAAAAATGAATGGTTTACTTACATAATCTCTCAAAGGCTTGTGGTAAAACGTATCAATATCATGATCAATATCCCTGGCATCTTTCCTGTGATACCCGTGTTTGGGGGGTTCAGTAGAACCGGCTTCCTCTCCAGTCACATGACTTGTGCAGGAACCGTTGTTCAGCTGAAATGAAACCAGTTTGTTTTTTGTGCTTCAGCTACAAAGGAGTATTTAAGTGTTGACTCAATAAAACAAGCCATCCCAGCTACAACAAGAAATCCCTGGAAAATCTTGCAAACTGTCAAGTGTTATTATACTATTACTAAAAAACAGGCGGTCAATTGATCAGTGACTCCCGTGAGGAATTGCAGAACGAGAAACAAGAATTGAGTTCCGTATGTGAGACTGTTTGATGAGGTTGAGACTGTTTGATCTGGTCAGTTTAAAACCATTTACATTGCCTATAATAAGAGCCGCTTAAGGTCCGGGCCAGGCTCAGGGTGTATCAGGAGTAGAGTTTGTGAAGAGCCGCCCCGGATACTTAAAAGAGGATATTAGCAGTTCACTGACGGCTCACCGGCCGGGAAAACCTTAAAGAGCCTGATTTGTTCAACTAGACAGTGGGTAAGTACTGGGCTTTCGAGTACGGCCGCCAACCAGGAAATTGGCACCTGTCGACACAGCAGGTGCAAGTAGTAGTACTTGTAACAAGGTTACTGGAGTGCCAAACAAAATTACAGCTAGACTAACGGCAAAAACTTAAACATATATAACGAGTGTGCACGCACGTACGTGAACCAAATCTCCATTCATAATTATAACATTCAGAACAATAATTGGTGGTAAATTACTTGATTACAAAGAATGATCAACTCACTAGCAGGATGACTAGTAGGGTAGAGACTCGCATGTTGATGATTGCCATGTAAGGTAGGTAAACGTATCAACTCGTAACGTTCTTGACTGAGTATTTGACAGCGGTAAGACAGGCCGGTCACAATTTGCGACATATTTGTCCTATATTATATGTAATTGTAGGGCTCATAGCTATAATGAAAATATAAAATATTCAATAGCACGCAAAGGATAATCTCGTTAAATTGCGACATCTCCAGTATTTGTCATTTTTCTTTGTCAACACCCAGAGTGCTGAGCATGGTTCCTGCTCCTGGGAAACACCTAGAAACACTCTCAAATCCGTACCACGAGGCTCCCCAACCATCTCAACGGATATAATATCAAGAAGCACAAAGTTGATAGATTGTAATTACGATAACCGTCCATACTATGACAGCTTCAATTGAATTTAGCTTGAAGGATAACAGATTTAGACAAATTCGCATTGTGACTGAGAATTTTGTGGCAGCGTCAGACAAGCGTTCCGGTTTTCTTCCCGACGTGGCAATGGGCAGAGATTGAGGTTAATCAAGCGATTCTGGGCATTCTTAGAGGACACTCGTCATCAGTCCTAATTGCGCTTCATTCAAGATTTGTCAGGTTAAGCCATTATTGACGTTCGTTCATTCTTGAGACTATATACTTCTACCAAACATCGAGTAGCTTCATCAACGTCAAATGATGCAAATAATACTCATTTTCAGAACAGTTTGCTAGTTTTTCCTGTTTTCATTGATTACAAAATTTATGTGGGCACATTAAAAGCTGTCAACAAACAATCTAATCATATTATAAAGAAAAGTGCCTTATATAGTGATAAATTATAAAACATTCAAAATTATTGGGATTCTGATCACATCTTGTGCTCAGCTATTTTTGTCTGAAATGAAGGGAGTATGGACCTGCTGGATCAGGGCAGAAGTACAGTGTCACAAAGCCCTGCTCTAACCTCACTAATAATGAAGCAAAAGGGTGGCTCATTAGGCTGCAGTTGTAAGGAACGGATTAGAGTCAAGTGACAGTACATTCTACCAGTCAAGACAGTTAGATGCTGAAATTGCTGAAATTTGCGAAAGTTCGTCTCTGAGTCGTCAGCTTGTTGGGTCATAATTGAAAAGCACCTGTTACTGTTTTGATTCAACAGCAGATTGCTAGCAGTAATTCAGTCAAAAGATCGATCATTAATCTTTCCTCGCTACTTGTCAGAGTGCTCAGTAACGAATAAAATAAATAAATACAACTGAATTAAAGTGCATGTTGTGAGCCAAAGATCGTTATCTTGGTCTGTGTTGAGCCGTACAATTAGTTAAGTATTATGAGGATGATGTAATGTTGCTTATAAAAAGTTAATGAGATATTAGTATTGATACTTATAGAGGTGAAATGCGCAAGAACTACGAATATAATTCAATTTATGTAACGAACCATGGAGCAGTTAGTAATAGTACCCATGTAATTTGAGATTATTCATTGAGGGATCTGTGTTGTTCGATTTCTAAAAGTGATTCGAATATAACGGCTTTGTACACAAAAAACTTATATTGATTTAATTCGATTCAAATCGATTTTATACTATTATATATAATCAATATAATACAGAAAAATTGTAGAAAACGTGATTTTGTAAAGCTGATGAGCGAAAAATTTCACGTGACTTACTTCAAATAATGTTCTCTGTATGGCACTAAGTGACAATTCAAAACCCTAACCTACTATTTTGACTCAATCCATACCCTAACCCAATCCCTAATTAAATCATATGCTAAAACTCTAACCCTAAAGAAAAATTAAACCAACTACCTTATAAATATATGTCATGTCACGTGACCGAAACAGTTTTTGGCGATAACATGTCAGTGGAGCATTTTGACCCTATGTCATGTGGGGTGATTTGGAATCAGCGTTATAAAATACATCGATTCAAGCTAGTTTCAACTATCGGGCGTCCCTTTTAGAAAAAATGTTGAAATTTCGAGTGTAAAGTGATTTAGCACGCTCGAACTATTTTATCCTTATAAACTGATAAACTGAAACAAAATATTACACCACACAAATCAATAATAATATTTAAGTGTTTGGTAGAGGTAAGAAAACTGAGCATTACTCTAAAATTTCGATCCTGATGCTTCTAGAATGTTTGTGATTACATCAATATGTTATAACTTTATAGCAATTAACTTGAGGGACTTTTAACTTCGTTGTCATTAAAATATCAATTTCAAAACCCCTTACGGTACATATCTATCAATATCCTCTTGTGCTCAAAAGGCCTGACCTTACTTTCTAGCTACTACGTAAACATTGGTTAATCATCTAATTATGCAATAGATCAATTAGTAAGTTCCTCAACCGATCTGTTCTCTTTGAACGGGAGGAACATTTCGCTCAACATTCCTCACCTCCTGGCCACCCTGGTCTACAGTCCTGGAGTCAGTAACAGTACTACTGTTCACCCCCCTATAGTCCAGTACGTTGAGATACAATGCTATCCACACTGCCAACGAGGCAATGAACGCCAGACTCAGCCAGAATATGAACCAGCCCCGGTACAATCGACCGTAACTAAGGGTAACCAGTGCCATAAAAGCAGCTGCCACCGCTATGGAGGTCAGTCCTATGCCGTAAATGGTTGCGAAGTTGTTCCGCCCGAAGTAGCGAACCAGGACTACAGGGTAGAGGGAGAAAATACCGCCTCCCGCCAAAAAGAGAGTTACAAATGCCACCACGTACAAAACACGACCATAGAAACTAGAGATGTAGACAAATACAGTCGCCAGAGTGACAATTATAGTCATGACCAGGACCAATCCCTCCAAATACATAAAATCAGCAACTACTCCCCAGCTGAACGCACCAAGTCCTTTAGCGATGCCGAGAGATCCCCCTACTTTAGCGAGAAACATGTCATCGTGGATAAAGGACTGGCCGTACACTTTGAAGGTGGTCAGAGCTGTCAGTACTGGGGCGAGAGCGAAGGAGAACAGGAAGAAAACCTTCCAGAATATAGGGAGGGACAGCGTCTCTTTTACTTCCAACTCGTGTTTCGGTTCGTTCATCTTCCTGACAAGGGGGTATGATAAATCAGAACCGCTACTATGTTGTTCCGAATGAGAAATTGTTGCAATTATTGTAGACGTTTTAGACAGATTTCTATCGGGGTCAGTCTCTCGAAACATAGCGATTATTTGCTGATTACACAGCCCGTAAAGTGAGTGATTTATCCCTTTGTGTTTCATTAGTTTAACGAGATTAACCTGACCATATAAGTAACCAAAATGAATGATGATCTTTAGAACAAATACAATAAATATGTTAAAGGTAACGTAATCCTGGATTGGTAGGCTGGTACGAAGTACTAAAAGCAGACGCAGCGTTAACAGATCCGGTGCAGACAGCATATTGTGAAAGGCTGGTACAGCATGAATAGGAAAACCGCTGATAAGCATAATTATGGAACTAATGTTATCATAAATATTTTAAGGTTATTATTTTGGTACGTCATGCACTCAAACCCCGGTTAACCAGGTATCCCCGTTGATCGCGACTAAAGACAAGGCCAAAGTAAGTAGTAGGATTGAAAATAAGCCGGCAAATACTAAAAAGGTACCCCAGTAAGGCTCGGGATGATTAAATCTTTGTTAATCATGACCGCTTAACACGGAGTAGGATATAGTTGCATTAGATTTATTAAAAGCTTGAGGTTACGCAATAATTATAAACACGGACGTTTTACCGCTATTCTTAATTAAATGGGGCGTGGAGTCGGAGTAGCCACATGGCACCATCAAATAAGAATTCCCAGTTCCCAGGGGATCGACTAAAGACAAGGCCAAAGTAAGTAGTACTAGTAGGATTGAAAATAACCCGGCAAATACTAAAAAGGTACCCCAGTAAGGCTCGGGAAGATTAGATCTTAATTATTCATAACCAGTTGATGACATTAATAGGAAAGAAAGTTTTAGTATTTACCACTCTTTTAGATTAAAGAGGGAGGGAGTTAAAGTACCCACTTGGCAGGATATAAAGTTATCCCTAATCTGCGAGTTACAAACCTCCTTCTTCGAGCCCGACTCTCACTGGAGCTCTCTGTAATAATAGATACGGTCTCGTCGTCTCCTCCCTCCGTCTCTCCCGCATCCTCCGGTTGGCAGGGGTATCGAGCCAGGAACGCTATTCCTACTATTTGAACCGCCGCCAATCCTGGAGATCAAAAATTATTTGGAATTTTCAAATATTAGAATCGGTGTTAGGCTTTAATAAATATTCGATGCAAAATGTAAGACATCGGGTAATATGATTCGTTACTCTTACTGGACACTGAATTTAGCTTTCGATGCCGGTTTTGTGCTGCAAAAGGTTTAACTGTAAGAAAGTTTCGCTTACCTTATCGGACTTCATTTGAACGGACATTAATAAAGTCCGATAAGGTAGACTGAAGGGACTAACCAAAAACAGCAAAGATGTAAATCTTAGGGAAATTGTCCAACACCTCGGCGTTAGTGAAGTACTTTTCAGTTTTATCAATGTAGGGTGTAGCAGAAGGTGAAATGTTGTGAGGATTAACCAGGGCTGTCACCAGAGGGTTCACTAACGCTGGGGCGGCAGCAAATGCTCCGTAGTTGATGCCGTTCACCTGTGAAAGTAACAACCTGTAAAAGTACAGTTCACCTGTAAAAGTTGGTTTAACTTTAAGTCGTCTTTAAGTCGTCTCACGTCGTGACCCTCATCGTCATCGTCATTTCATTTAACAATGTACCGTTGCGAAAGCCACGATACGGCCGCCCTCCCACCTAGGGACCCACTTTATAGCCTCTGTGAGATCTATAACTTACCATGCCCTCCCACCTAGGGACCCACTTTATAGCCTCTGTGAGAGCTCCTAACTTACCATGCCCTCCCACCTAGGGACCCACTTTATAGCCTCTGTGAGAGCTATAACTTACCATGCCCTCCCACCTAGGGACCCACTTTATAGCCTCTGTGAGAGCTCCTAACTTACCATGCCCTCCCACCTAGGGACCCACTTTATAGCCTCTGTGAGAGCTCCTAACTTACCATGCCTTCCCACCTAGGGACCCACTTTATAGCCTCTGTGAGAGCTATAACTTACCATGCCCTCCCACCTAGGGACCCACTTTATAGCCTCTGTGAGAGCTCCTAACTTACCATGCCCTCCCACCTAGGGACCCACTTTATAGCCTCTGTGAGAGCTCCTAACTTACCATGCCCTCCCACCTAGGGACCCACTTTATAGCCTCTGTGAGAGCTCCTAACTTACCATGCCCTCCCACCTAGGGACCCACTTTATAGCCTCTGTGAGAGCTCCTAACTTACCATGCCCTCCCACCTAGGGACCCACTTTATAGCCTCTGTGAGAGCTCCTAACTTACCATGCCCTCCCACCTAGGGACCCACTTTATAGCCTCTGTGAGAGCTATAACTTACCATGCCCTCCCACCTAGGGACCCACTTTATAGCCTCTGTGAGAGCTATAACTTACTATGCCCTCCCACCTAGGGACCCACTTTATAGCCTCTGTGAGAGCTAACTTACCATGCCCTCCCACCTAGGGACCCACTTTATATCCTCTGTGAGAGCTCCTAACTTACCATGCCCTCCCACCTAGGGACCCACTTTATAGCCTCTGTGAGAGCTATAACTTACCATGCCCTCCCACCTAGGGACCCACTTTATAGCCTCTGTGAGAGCTCCTAACTTACCATGCCCTCCCACCTAGGGACCCACTTTATAGCCTCTGTGAGAGCTAACTTACCATGCCCTCCCACCTAGGGACCCACTTTATATCCTCTGTGAGAGCTCCTAACTTACCATGCCCTCCCACCTAGGGACCCACTTTATAGCCTCTGTGAGAGCTCCTAACTTACCATGCCCTCCCACCTAGGGACCCACTTTATAGCCTCTGTGAGAGCTATAACTTACCATGCCCTCCCACCTAGGGACCCACTTTATAGCCTCTGTGAGAGCTATAACTTACCATGCCCTCCCACCTAGGGACCCACTTTATAGCCTCTGTGAGAGCTATAACTTACCATGCCCTCCCACCTAGGGACCCACTTTATAGCCTCTGTGAGAGCTATAACTTACCATGCCCTCCCACCTAGTGACCCACTTTATAGCCTCTGTGAGAGCTCCTAACTTACCATGCCCTCCCAACTAGGGACCCACTTTATAGCCTCTGTGAGAGCTATAACTTACCATGCCCTCCCACCTGGGGACCCACTTTATAGCCTCTGTGAGAGCTCCAATAGTAGCTAACGTCACCCCTACTGCCATCAGAACCGCAACTCCGTAGTAGAGATAGAAGTTGTACTTCACAGCTATGAATCCCAACACGAAGGAGCTCGTGTATATAAATGAACCCAATGCTGCTGATTCCCAACCTGATATGTGATTATGGGTGTTAATTTTGTACGGCACTATTAAATTGAAATTTTTTTAATTTATGATGACTTCGATGCTCGATTCTCTGGCACACAATAAATAATAAAACAGCAACGTTTTGAATAATAAAAACAGTTTGAGGTTTAGATTAGTATTAGATTTAATTGCCGTTACCTCCAATTTTCTGAGCAAGAAGACCGCACGGAACACTTGCAAATCCCGTGACCAACATTCCGAAGAACACCAGGATGGACATGTCAGTGTACCGTAAGTTGGGTTGCTTGGCCCCTCTTTCCCTCGCATATGACACTAGGTATATGACCTGATTTCCTGTGTTGATGCACGTTAAAATGTGTACTCATTCCTTTATACTATTCGTTGATAATGTTGTATCTCAATAAATATTGATATTGATTTTTGATATAAATGAGTATTTCAGTATCTGTTATTTACATTGGTTTAGATTGGTTGACTGGTTCAGTTGTAACTTTGTAAATAAGACTAACCTAACGAGGTGACAGTGCCGACACTGAACTGGATCAGAGCAGATCCTATCAGTGCAACAGTCTGTCTGCATTTCAAGTTCTGGCATTTCCGTCCGTGCCTTCTGAGAGCTTTCCAAGCTCGGTCCAGGCCAGTCCTCGCCATTGCAGTTTTCAGTTAAGCTTGAGTTGAACGGTATTGCAAGTGTTGGAGTTTATCAAAACTGTTAGGTGATCTGGCTCTTCAGGAAAAGTTTTTAAAAATGAGAAGCTACCTTGTGACGGTTATCACGTGTCACTTCAATTTCACATGTTCAAATTTAATTTAACATAATACAACTAGACGCTATACAAAGTACATATACAACTACAAATACAAGTGGTAAAGTGCACCGGCCAATTTATTCAAACAGTCTCCAGCATAACATTAATAATAATAGTGTTACCATGGTAACAACATTAATATGATCTCCAGATACAGTTAGTTCAATGATCGAGGTTTTACAGCTTTAAATGCAGCTAGCAATATAAGGCTAGCTGTAGCCTCGGATGCAAAGAGGGGCCATGAGCCTAGCAAGTTGCGGACCAATAATAGTATCTATTTGTTAATGTTAAGCTGGTCTCGAAGAAACTTTCTGAGTTAGAATATACCTTATCCTAATTTAGAACAGATTTTAAGCCAACAGCCCACTTTAGGTCGCTTGGCCTAACAGCTGGACTGAGTGATGTGACCCGTGCGTGATGTGACCCGTACGTGCAATGTATTACTCACAACATGAGCTGACAGAGCATACTATCCGAGCCCGACGACGTGGACCAAATTAACGGGCTGATCGGCGATGGCTTGACTGTAATTGCACCAGTCAAGTACTTTTATATATTTATTTATTTAGAATTAGATAGTGATACAACAAGTTTATTAAAATATGATTAATTTAGATAATCAAATCAATAACATATTTCACAATTGCAACACAATAACGTTTCTTGAACAAGAAGTACGTCCAGGAATGAAGGTGACTGTGGAGGTCATGTTGCTCGATTGTCGATGCTTCGGTAGTCATATATGGCCCAAGCATATGAACTTGTTATCCCAATCAGAGATATATCTTTATACGATGCGTGTGATAGGATCACCTGCTGCTTACGACTGACTCAGTGGATCATTTCGACATACATGGCGTTAACCGGCCCGACGAATCACTTAATGGTCCATTAGAAGGATAGGAACCGACCTGAGCTTGGCAGTACGTTTAGTTTTACTCCGACAGCCTTAGTTTCCCATCAACATGGGTAGTGGGTACGGGGGTAAAACTAAAATTGAATGGGTTTTCTATAAGTATGTCTTATTTATTATTAGTACTTAATACTATTACTGTCTGTAAAAGTAATAATAAGATAAAGAAAATTGTTCAGGATTAACTTACCGACTAGTTACGAATTAGATACTAATGAAAATTTAACATATCTTGGAAAAATCACCAAAGCAATCTGCCACAATTGAGGTTCAATTTCTAATCTCTTTTACAAAAACAGACTGTTTATTTCGTTAACAGTTGTCATGTTATAACAAATTACATTTTAAACAAAAAAGCTGAAAAATATTGTAATTAGTTTCATGAAATAAACTGTAAAACATTCGCCAGCGAAAACAGAACCGATGGTCGTCCATCCATTTGCGGCGATCGTGATTTGAAATTTAATAGCATTGGATGTTTATCTAAAAGTTTAACATGATAATGCTCATCCATTACCCCACCCAAACCAGCAATGACAAACCAGCAGGTATATATGGGCAACAGTAACCGTCACAAACATAACGGGCAATCCTAACTTCATAAAATCGAAAAACGATATTTTGTACCCCTTCTCCTCTGCTATGCCCACAGCTACAATATTAGCAGAAGCTCCAATGAGTGTTCCATTTCCCCCGAGACATGCCCCAAACGCTAAAGCATAAACCAGCGGCTCTAAAGGTAAACCAGTCTCTGTAACGATTTGTGAGATAACGGGGATTATAGCGGCGGTAAAGGGGATGTTATCGATGAAAGCTGAGATGATGGCTGCCATCCAGAGGATGATTGAGATAGCAGCAGCTAGTTGGTAGTCAGGTGAGATTGATTTTATGGTCGTCGCTGCAAACTCTCCGAGGGTACCTGGAATGATGTCACGATGACTATTCGACTCTCCATGAAGGTTTGTTATCATTTTGATATTTAAAGCATTTTAGAATGTGATATAGTTTGAATATGAAGCAAGCTTGGTATTTGTCAATCTCGTCGATTTTGAAAATATCAATAATTGATTAAACAAATTACAATTGATTGAAAAAATAATTAATTAATCAAATAAGGTATTTACCTATGAGCCCAAGTTTCTCAAGACACTCCACTAAAATGAAAAGTCCAGCAAAGAACATAAGAGTAGTCCATTCTACTTTGTGTAGCAGACCTTCCATGTCATGGTGATCTGGGGTTGTCAGGGTAAAGTGTGGTAGTCATGGTGATCTGGGGTTGTCAGGGTAAAGTGTGGTAGTCATGGTGATCTGTGGTTGATACATTAGTTTAAAAAACATTCAAAATTCACAACTTTAGAATGTGAGTAGCAAAACGTTTCAGTTGATTTTGACCCCTCGTTAGTCGTTTTAGAAGACGGATAAAATACTTAAGCAAGACTTCCTGTAGATACCTTATCGGACTTTATTTGAACGGACATTAATTGGACGCTGGAGGCCCTAGCGATCATTCTAATGTCCGTTCAATTAAAGTCCGACAAGGTAGATAAATTAAGTATATTAAATGAATGCCTTTGATGTCCGTTCAAAATTATGTCTGTTCACAAAATGTCCGGTCAAATAACGTCCGATAAGGTATATCCAGAAACATGTATTCCAAATGAGCTACAATCCTATGACAATGAAAAGAAACATGTAATGAGCTACAAACCTATGACAATGATAAGAAACATGTATTCCAAATGAGCTACAAACGTATGACGATGATAAGGTATACCCAGAAACATGTATTCCAAATTAGCTACAAACCTATGACAATGATAAGAAACATGTATTCCAAATGAGCTACAAACCTATCACAATGATAAGGTAAACCCAGAAACATGTAATTCGCTACAAACCTATGACGATGATGAGCGCAATGGCACCAGCCATGGCGACCTCTCCGGGCGTAGTATGTATTATTGGGAGGGAGTACACGAAGAACAGCAAGATGCACACTATCAGTACAGTTGCTGTTTTGACAAGTTTCCCCTTATCTCTGATACCGTATCTGGTGTGGAGTGTTGGGTAAGTGGGTTGGTTGGTTACCGTGGTTACTGTGGTTACTGTGGTTACTGTGGTTACTGTGGTTACTGTGGTTACTGTGGTTACTGTGGTTACTGTGGTTACTGTGGTTACTGTGGTTACTGCGAGCCCTTCTAAGAATGCAGCTCACAAAAAGCAGCTGGAGGGTTTAATTTGTATGGTTAACCAAACATCGAGGTAATATTATCAGATTGGGAAGCAGCAAGTACGATCATTAATATCAAAATGCTTTCTTAGAAATACAAGTTGGTATTTCTTCGAACTCGGGAGAGCTACGCAGGAAAAGGTTGCGGAAAGAGGAAGTGTTATTCAGGAAATGGGCAGGTTGGTTTTATGTATCATGATTAGCTAATACATATCGTTTAACCAGTGGACTCTGCTATCGTTGCTATCGTTGCTAAGAGATAATGCTATCGTTGCTAAAAGATAATGAGATAAGAATTTAAGGAAATAAGCACAAGGATAGATTTTCTACTCATCCTAATAACTCAACGTGTTCAAGCTGAAGTTCGTATCATTAATTTGATCTAAGAATTACTGGTTTCCTCAACCAAGGTTAACTTATTGGAAACATGAGCACAAGTGATGAAACTGAAAAGGGTAATAAGACCAAAATTGAAGTTTATTCAATCAGTTCCCCAGGATAAAATTTTACGATTACTCTTTAGAAGCGTTTGCTTCCTTACCCACAAGCAAAATCAACCTGCCAAGTCAATCAATAACCAAAAGAATATCTTACAGTAAAAAGACATCCATTTCAACAATCTTGTTACTCACAAAATATATTTAACTCTGAGCAATACTTTAAATACTTTTTCATTCTTTATTTTTAAATAATTTAAAGACTCACTGAGCTCTAAGTTTAGGCAGGTTAACGTTGTAAGTCTTGGTCACCTCTTGTGGTGTCATGACTCTCTCCTCCGCAAGACGTGTCACCTGTGCAGCTTTACCCGCCAACATCTCCTTCACAGCCACTTCATCCGTCGTTCCTGGTAATGAAAACTAGGTAAAGGTGGGTTAAAACAATATCAGTATTAGAGATGCCAGATACAGTATCAGTATCAGTGATGGTTGATACTGTATCTGATACTATTAAAACAATTACTAGGATGATTTCCCAAATAGGGTACAGTTAGTGTCCCTTTATGGGTCCCTTTATGGGTGAAAATTCGTGCTTTAACAGTGTATGTGTACAATGTACAAGGGGAGCAATATGTGTCATCAGTCTTCTTTTATACAGCTTAATAATATAACGGTTAAGGTTATATATATACACACTATATTATATCACGCGCACGTATCACATTACACATCTTCCAATCGGAACCGAAAAAATTATAACAAATTATACCTTGGCTACTTTTCGGGCCACGCGTTCCCTCCAGCAAGCTGTCGGGAATTATCGCGTGTAGCCCTCAAAAGCCAAGGTAGTATTGTATTATAACAAACCGATGTAACTCCGGTCCGCTATTCTCTGCCAAAGTTTAGCCTCCCTCAGAAGCTCCTGAACATCATTATCTTGCACGATTAGACTCTTAGCGGTCCTTTTCAACATCAACCTGTAACAAATGGGTAAATAGTTCAACATCAACCTGTTACAAACGGGTAAATAGTTTAACATCAACCTGTAACAAATGGGTAAATAGTTCAACATCAACCTGTAACAAATGGGTAAATAGTTCAACATCAACCTGTAACAAATGGGTAAATAGTTCAACATCAACCTGTAACAAATGGGTAAATAGTTCAACATCAACCTGTAACAAATGGGTAAATAGTTCAACATCAACCGGTAACAAACGGGTAAATAGTTCAACATCAACCTGTAACGAATGGGTAAATATAATTCCCGTCATATTATTCATGTACAAATTATCATGAGATTTCTTTCTTAACAAGACTAATAACGGTCGGTTTTACTTACTGTTATTTATTTGCGATCAGGCAGGGGAAATATCCACGCAGCAATTAAACTATATTTCTGCTATGAAAGGCTTTAGACATCCGAGCTTAAAATGTAGTATATATCTAAGTAATTGGAGGCAAGCAAAAACGTGATAACAGTCAGAAAGGTAATCACTACTTACCAAAAGTAAATGTAAGCAGCCACTGAACAGAGAATAGAACCAACCATCATGTGGCCAGTAAACTTCCCGAATGTTATCTTCTGTAATAATAGCGAGGGTTAGCTTATAGTTATAGCTTTCAAATGATTTCCATGATCCGAAATACCAGGATAATTTTATTTTGTGTGTTTTCTTATCACAATTACTGACTACCTTATCGGACCTTATTTGGACGGAAATTAATTGAACGCTGGAGGCCCTAACGTTCATCTTAATGTCAGGGTTGTGAAATACGTGTTTTACGTTTTTTTGAATTACGTTTTTTTAACGGCCAGGTAGCGCAGTTGGTTAGCCAGCTTTGCAATCGTGAGGTTGCGGGTTCAAATCCCACTGCCTGCCTGGTCGTGGGGTGAGTGTCGTTGACATTCAGCTAAGGATCATGAGTGGTCTATGCAGCCCCCCGGTCTACTCAGCCGAATACTCGAGAAATCGGGTGTGAGGGTTAAATGAGGAGCTGCACATTGCAGCAAAGTCTCGGGCGAAGAAAGTATGGTACACACTACCTTAACCGTCACTGGCTAAAAACAAATCCTTCGGCTTCCTGTAATTGGCTGGTTGCACTTGTGTAACAATATGGCTGTTGGAATACTCCGAAGTAAAATAAGTGTCTAGATAAAAAAAAACAGGTTTTTGCGTATTTATTTAAAAAACGTTGTGATTTATACGGAAATTTACAATGTTTTGACGGTCACCGACTACCAGTAAACGAACCAGCGAAGTACGAACACTGAGGCCTGGGCCACAATCATATAAGCAAATTGCAGTCTTCAGTGACGAGAGGATAAGCGACCTTACCCTTCTCAGTCACGAAAAGGAGCTTGTCAAAGCTATAGACATTGCTGTCATTATTGACAAGTTTGCTGAGAGTGACCGCAGAGTTGTGTTGAATTGAACAGTCTCAGTGTCAATTATGTTTTAATTGTTATTAAAATATTTGTACCTTTATTTTCAAATTTAAAACATTATGTTTTATTGAGCTCTTCAAGTTAATTCAGAAACTTTCTGGTAAGGTTATTAGCGTCTAAAAGCGCAAAATTTTCCGGGACCCCCCTCATAGTTGTCATATTCTGGACAAAAAGTTCGAAGTGGAAAAAGTTTTGAAAAAAAAAATCAACGGACTTTAACTTGGACGGACCTCAAATGAACAGTCGTTCTCCTTGGTCTGCCGCGGAGGCACAGAAAACTCTACTAGTATATGATGTTTTCAAGGGTCACTTGGCGGAAAAATTCAACGAAATTATGGCACTCAACAACATAGTTCATGAGCTTCTGCTAGTCCTCGCCAACATGACAAACTTATTCCAGCCTCTAGATATTACGGTAAATCGTGTTGCACCAAGGACATTGTCCGACGACCGACGTTGTTATAGTTCATATTACTCAGGGGAGGTATAATGAAACAGTGATGGTTAACCCTCAAGTTGTCTAAGATAAAACCACTTCACGCCGAATGGCTTGTAAAATTTAACACTGAAATGCAGGACCGGGGTAGTTTGATAAAAAAGGTTTCCATAAAGCTAGAAATCACTGATGCTTTAAGCATGGACTATTTCATGCACGAAAACCCATTTGATGAAGATGATATGTGATATTAGACACTGATCATGAACACATATTTTAAAATTTTTACTGCTTAACGACTGCTTTTCTTACTTATTGTATAAAAAAGTATTTAAAAATCATTTGCTGAAGTAAAAAAACGTCAAAAAAATGAAAAAAATTCGGATTTTTGATGTTTTTATGAATGCCTTCTATAGCGTTCATATTAATGTCCGTTCATAATTATGTCCGTTCATTTAATGTCCGTCCAAATAAGGTCCGATAAGGTATGAGTAGTGAGAGTACGAGCCTCAAAACAACGAATTAACTTACACTATTAAGGAGTGGAGAGTTGATGATAAGAACGTTGGGAGGATCACCTATACCGGTAGAAGCTCCTCCGAGATTTGAAAACATCACCATCGCTAGAATCACCTTCTTGACATCAAGATGCATCACCTGACACAACCTGTATGGAAACTAGTTGAAATTTTATAGAGTTATTACCCAGAGAGTTATTTACAACTTAACTTTCCAAGATCCATTAAATAAATTAATTCGGATAAATCATGTTTCTAATTGAACATAGGTGTTTTACTGGCAGAACTTATGCGGAGATAAAAACATAATTCTTTTTTTTTAAATTATTTTAAAACAAAATTTTGTTTATTTTTATTTTTATAATTAGTTGTTAATGATCGCACAGTTGAAACTCACGTGATAGTTATGGGTGTTATCAGAAGAATGGTGGTTACGTTATCCTGAAACAAATTCAAATTAGCACAAACTAGCGAACTAAATACTGATGGTCAAGTGTTTTTAGCAATGAGGCTAAATTTTGAATAATTACTAGCCCTAACTTAAGCTATAAAAACTTTAATTCTAACAAAGAATTTTACTCTTACTCATTCATAAAACCGCACGGTTTGCCACCTTTAATTGGCCAATACAACATGAGTGTGGAGTGTGGAGTGTGGAGTGTGGAGTGTGGAGTGTGGAGTGTGGAGTGTGGAGTGTGGAGTGTGGAGTGTGGAGTGTGGAGTGTGGAGTGTGGAGTGTGGAGTGTGGAGTGTGGAGTGTGGAGTGTGGAGTGTGGAGTGTGGAGTGTGGAGTGTGGAGTGTGGAGTGTGGAGTGTGGAGTGTGGAGTGTGGAGTGTGGAGTGTGGAGTGTGGAGTGTGGAGTGTGGAGTGTGGAGTGTGGAGTGTGGAGTGTGGAGTGTGGAGTGTGGAGTGTGGAGTGTGGAGTGTGGAGTGTGGAGTGTGGAGTGTGGAGTGTGGAGTGTGGAGTGTGGAGTGTGGAGTGTGGAGTGTGGAGTGTGGAGTGTGGAGTGTGGAGTGTGGAGTGTGGAGTGTGGAGTGTGGAGTGTGGAGTGTGGAGTGTGGAGTGTGGAGTGTGGAGTGTGGAGTGTGGAGTGTGGAGTGTGGAGTGTGGAGTGTGGAGTGTGGAGTGTGGAGTGTGGAGTGTGGAGTGTGGAGTGTGGAGTGTGGAGTGTGGAGTGTGGAGTGTGGAGTGTGGAGTGTGGAGTGTGGAGTGTGGAGTGTGGAGTGTGGAGTGTGGAGTGTGGAGTGTGGAGTGTGGAGTGTGGAGTGTGGAGTGTGGAGTGTGGAGTGTGGAGTGTGGAGTGTGGAGTGTGGAGTGTGGAGTGTGGAGTGTGGAGTGTGGAGTGTGGAGTGTGGAGTGTGGAGTGTGGAGTGTGGAGTGTGGAGTGTGGAGTGTGGAGTGTGGAGTGTGGAGTGTGGAGTGTGGAGTGTGGAGTGTGGAGTGTGGAGTGTGGAGTGTGGAGTGTGGAGTGTGGAGTGTGGAGTGTGGAGTGTGGAGTGTGGAGTGTGGAGTGTGGAGTGTGGAGTGTGGAGTGTGGAGTGTGGAGTGTGGAGTGTGGAGTGTGGAGTGTGGAGTGTGGAGTGTGGAGTGTGGAGTGTGGAGTGTGGAGTGTGGAGTGTGGAGTGTGGAGTGTGGAGTGTGGAGTGTGGAGTGTGGAGTGTGGAGTGTGGAGTGTGGAGTGTGGAGTGTGGAGTGTGGAGTGTGGAGTGTGGAGTGTGGAGTGTGGAGTGTGGAGTGTGGAGTGTGGAGTGTGGAGTGTGGAGTGTGGAGTGTGGAGTGTGGAGTGTGGAGTGTGGAGTGTGGAGTGTGGAGTGTGGAGTGTGGAGTGTGGAGTGTGGAGTGTGGAGTGTGGAGTGTGGAGTGTGTATCTAAACAAAGCTGCTACTCACTAAGAATCCGGACATGACAGCAGTGCACACATTTAGAAGGGTAAGTAACACCCAGATCCTTCCTTTAGACAGCTCGTACATTTTCACGGCTGTCCAGTCGAAGAATCCTGAGTCTGCCAGCAGTGCCACCATTAACATCTGAAAGTAATTTGGTAATTATATTGATTAACTACATGAACTAATTTGAAATATAAGCCTATTGGTGTCGTTTCAAAAGTGAAAGAAAGGCAGGTATGACGTATGCTGCTGAAGTTTTCCGAAGAACTTCTGTATGGAATATATAATCATTTTCATAATATAGAACTCAATTGTTATTTGTCATTGCTACCTCATCTATAATGAAATCATCCAAATTGTGTAATTTCCACTTACCAAAAAGACAACATTATTAGATACAATTTCAAAATCCCTATTAATAATTAGGGGGTCAAAAGCATAAGTTCAAAAATCAAACTCAATACCGAAATATACCTTGCTTCAATAAATGAAGCAAGGTATATAAACCTAGGACTGGACGGATTTTAGATTAAATTATTTTTTATTCTAAAACATTTGCAGGTCATTGTATCCAGCTTGAGAACGGCTGTCGTTAACTTATATTATGGCCGATTGAAGTGACAAGGTACGTTCTACAGAAATTAGTGCTGCATAGTGCATGAGTTGTGTCCTCTGACTGATTCCTGTATCTTGGTGCTATTACTGTGGACGAGTCCCCATGATATGACCCTATGATCCCAAGACCCCATGACCCCATGACCCCATGATATGACCATTGGCCAGAAGGCGCGTGCGCGACAAAATTCTGTTTTTGCAAAAAACATCGCTTCTAGCCATTCTTTGTTGTATAAATGTCTGGTTCTGCTAATCCTACCTATACATCTACAGTCTACAGTAGCTGTAGTAAAACTACTACTTCTTACCACGATCATGAGGTGACTTGTGAGTGAAATAGTGAAAAAGGGTGTGACCTTAGTTTCAGTGTTACTGAGTAACACTGCTCACTGCTCAATCTCTGTATCAGTATTGTTAGAAACGTTGCATCGACGTATTATTGAGTCATACATCACAAGGCTTATTTTACAAATACACGTAGTTACGACTCATGCACATACTATGGAATTTTAAATTTATATTTTAAAATTTATATTTGTATGCATTTTCAGGAAGTATAAATTCGAAATTTCTGGAAATCTTTTAAGGAATAGGACCCTAATTTTGCGATGGAAGGACCATGCGAGCTGTAGCTACTTAATAAGAGATTTCGATTCTCTGAATTTCATGAGTAAGAGATTGCTTTGATAAATTGTGTAGTTGTGTTTTGAATTCGTGCCAAGTTCGTGGTGAAATGTTTTGTTGGAAAATTGGATCATTTGCTCTCTTTTCATGAAACTTTCTCGTAAATTTACTACAAAAATTGTAAAATTTCTTTGTCTCAACACTTGGTCAATAGTTTTGTCTGCGAACTGAAATAATATTTCCTCGCGTCACATACCATTCCCATTAGTAGAGCCAATGTCTCCCAGTCTATCCAACTGATAATTAGTTCCATATTGGGTCTCTGTAAAAATAATAGTGAAGATTATTTAATTAATTAGTGAATTAGTAATTAAATAGCAGTGAAGATTATTTAATTAATTAGTGAATTAGTAATTAAATAATAGTGAAGATTATTAGACAAGGAGGTCTCTTGTAATATACATATGGTCAATCAAAACGAGAATAAGTCTCATTGCGTACACAAATGATACACAAATTAAGCAGCAAACAAAGTTTACCATAGCTGATAGTTTACCAAATCTCACAATTAACATACCATATTTAAGATGCTGAGAGCAGCCAAACCCAAACTCGCCCCAAGCAGAGCAGCACTTGTTCTGTGGATTATCTCTGTCATTATCAGCGCGTAAACCACTACTAACAGTATCACCGCCACTATCACCTGACAATATTTAAGAAATTAGATCTATTATTATTTATGAAAAATCAAATCTATTATTATTCATATAATGAAATATCTTTTTTCGTCAATCATGTTTCCATTTATATCAGTTATTATTTCTATAAACTTTTTGACAACTCTCATTTAAAGTTTAGTAAATGTTACTTTTGGTATTGTTATCCCTGATTCCGGAGCAACATGGCAGCAGATGTTTCAACCAAACCATCATCAACCAGGTATTGATTAACTGTTATATTATGTCTAGTTAATAAGTGGGGAGGCGGATTATCGTTCTGAAGTACTGAACTGTGAATGTACTGTGAACGTACCATTAACACGATGTTTTCATTCCACTAATCAATAAGCAAGGTCGACTCTCAAACCGGTTCGATTAGTTGTGGGTAGGGCTATAACTCTATAATGATTAGTTGTGGGTAGGGCTATAATGATTGTATCGACCATATTGTGTATGAGCAGGTATTGATTAAGTTAGAATGATATCGTGCGCGTAATTTTAATTTTGCTGACAACCTCTTTCTTTATCTATCACTATGATCATAGTGTAAGTTAATTTTTTCCTTTTCACCCTTTTGAAAAAAGGCAATAGTGAAAGGTTACGAATGGAGGTTTTTGCAGAAAAACGTGGATTTTGGAGATAGCAGTAGGCGGGTCTGAATATGATGTCATTCCGTCCGTTACCATGCAACGAAAAAGTTGCGCGCGCGCGAGGATTGCTTGCGGAGATGTGATGTATAGATAGCCTGTGATCTATGAATGCGCGGCGCAACTGTGTTGTAATGTATATGATGCATGTAATGTATAATATTACTATTAGGTAATACGCCCAATTTGTACGTGGCACGCATAGTGTATTGATGTGTACACTAGTATAGTTTACCTTTGCTGATAATTTCTTGAATTACAGATACAAGTTAAGTTCTACGGCAATTGAACTGAATTTCAAGTGTTTCCCGTATTTGATGCATAATTTATCAATATTATTATCATGATTATGAAAATTGAAGTGAGCTGATTAGAGCTTATACTTAAATTTATAGTAAATGTGAAATGGAAATCTAGCGTCCGCCAAAACGAAACAACGGGCGCAATTCTTGTTACTACTTCTGATATAAGAGATATCATTTGACGACCAGATCCCAGCATAGCTATCAATAAGTAGCATATGCTATCAGTTATAATCCCAACAGTTCTTAAATACTTCATTCCGTGTAACATAAATAAGGACTAGCAGAAAACCCCTATTAAAGCAATACAGGGTATAAGATGAGTACAATGACTAAAATTAACTTTCAGAGGGCAGAAACGTTTACGTTAAATGAAACTGAAGTAAACGAAACGTTGGAACATTCATCTGGGAATTATACATTGACGTTCTCCAACTTTATCAGTGAAACTGACTCAGTAAGCGTTATCAGAAACCAAAAGTGAGTATGATTGAGTGCCTCTGATAGAATTAATTGTTTTCTCTCCATCCACTTTTTAGTTTTTAACAACCGGATTTTGAAACCGAACTGCTTATCCGAATGTCATAATCGCAATCTTCAGAGGTACCCTCGGAGTTACACACTTCGATTTCAGTCAAAGTTGTAGATGCATACACGGTATTAACATTTAACGTGTTAACAACTTAACTTCTATATGAAATACTGCTAGATATAAACAGTAATAATATTTCAGATTTTTTATAACGATGGTGCGACACAGGGAGGCTATTCCAAAAACGGGAGCCCATTTCAAACTCTTAGTTCGAGGTTTGTGCCTTGTAAAAACTAGTAATCTTTTAAAACTTTTGATTGTTTTACTAGTCGAACATAAAACATCATGATCGTGACACAATATCTATATCTGAAGAAGGTTCATTTAAATATTTATTGCAGATGGTGATTTTAAACAGTTCTGTTACGAACCTATCCTCGGAAATTCACCAGACGAATTCCAATCCCTCCAATCAGAACTTCTCGGTAAAACGGCAACATCCAAGTCCTTCAACCTCCGACTATCTAAATCTTGCCCGGATGCAACTGTCAGAGAAGACCCAACTGGTGCCACTACCACCTCCACCTCAAGCCCCGATGGCTACTTTGAGGTGTATGTGTATATCTCGGTGACCATTCTAGAACCGTTGGAGGTTCAGTTGGAGTCAGCGGACAATGCAGTGAAGATTTCTGTGAATAACATTAAATCTAAGGACAAAACTTCACCAGACGTGAAATGCTTGGTGAACGGCGTAGAGCTCACTAAATCCCCCCACTTCAAACTATCGAATAAACTGAAGGATCCCTCATCAAGGAAAGGCTTGTCTCTGTACAGAAAGAACGTGAATCAGATCAGAACCACGAAAATAAAGATGAAATGTTGGTCGGATGTGTACGGTGGAGGTCCTCTGGAGTGCAGTGCTAGCATGTATGGATACACATACTGGTCCAACCCCCTCGTACTGACCAGAGGCGGTGATATGATCGACTGTGGAGAAGATTCTCACCTGATCGTAACTAACCAGAACGGAATGACCAAAATAGAGTGGGATTGCAAAGAGGAGCACTCGTCTTACACAGTGCACGTCAACCGAACAGTTGGTCATGAGAACGAGACAGCGTCCTGTCCTCTGAGGCTGGAGACAGGAGACACTGTCCTGGAGACAGGAGACACTTCGTGCAGTGTGGAGACAGATCAGCTGATACCAGGAGTAGGGTACCACGTGTGGGTGGTCACCTCCGCAAGCAACCTCCTCGTGGTGGATAAGACACATGTGCTGATAACAGAGAGAAGACAGAGTGATCACACGCTGGTCGTGCAGTGGGCTCTGGTGGGGCTGGGTGTGGGTGTGGTGGTGGTGGTGACAGTGTGGCTGCTATTTTGGAGGAGTCAGAGAGGCAGAAAGGGGTGGAGTGAGATTGAGAGTCTTAACAAGGATCAGAATTTGGAGAGGTATGAAGCTAGCGACATTGTCATACTCCACATAACCAATAGTGAGGTTATGTAAGAACTATTGATGCTTCTGGTGATGACACCGCACGTTGGAGAAATTTGACTAATGCTAATTTAATATGCCCTATACAGAAATGATTTATTTAAAACATTACATTGCACATTTTTTGATTTCATAGTTCATACGCGGTTTACAATGAGGCCTATTTAATGATTTTATTGAAAGTATTTAATGTTTATTTGTTTATTCATCAATACGTCGAACTGGGGTGATTATTTATACTACAAATTATTTGTTAATAATAATTGCGCTCCAATAAATTATCGATAGGCTTTTCAATGAGATTTCTGATTTGATAAATATCAAAGTTTTAACATTTTAAAATAGCTTTGTCTTTCAATGACTGCCACATTTATCTTGTTTGTAGCAATATTGCTTACCGAGTAGTCTTGTGCAGGTGATCTACACTGGTAGGAGAGGTTCACAGAAGCACATGCGGACGCGTCACTTGGTTCTGCTATTAGAGACAAACTGTCGCAGCCTCTGAGGAAAATGGCGATTAGCCAAAATGTAACAATCCAGATTTCGGAATATCTGGAAAGATGTCAAAAAATTTTGACTTGGAAAAGTTTTTCTAAGGAAAAACTTTGGAATTTGGTAATCCGTCTGCAGTCTTCAACGATATTACTCTAATCACTACTAGGGGTAAATTGCAGGCCACTGAATATTCAGGTGAATATTGTTCCGCAGAAATTGGAGCAGTCTGTAAAGAAGAGAATTCTCAGCGTAATTTACTAATTGTGCAATGCCGATAACTTTCAAGGGACTCAACTTAAGATTTGTAAATTCGAATCTTGAGTATTCATGGACCTTGTATTCACTACCCTTTTACACTGCTCATCTTTCAAAATTAATTATCGAAGCAATCTTTGCGTGGAGTAGAAGTAAAAAGTGTAAGAAATTTATCAAAACTAGCCCTTTAACTATAACAGAATTAAGAAAGATAAGCTTTTATAAGTTGCTTGCAATAAAAAACAACAAACTTCTTCAAAAATGCGGCTCACTTGAGGGAATCTATAGTAAACAAATGTTCAATCTTTGTCATGTCTTTAATCTTAGTGGTCACTGCTTCAGTAGGTTTAATGTACACTGGATCATCCTGAATTATAATGTTCAAAACTTTAACACAAAAAATGTTACAATCATATTTTAATTTGAGGACCAAATTATGGACTACCTGAAAATTTTGAGAGTATTCGGACAAGTTTCAACTTTTAATAAAGTTACTCACTATTATGACAGTCCCTGTTTGCATTTTCTTCAGTAGTTTGATCCAGACTGTTCCATTTTGTGGTTCGGTATACACCACTGAGAATAAGATACGTGAATAAGATCATGTAAAATAATCAACGGCATAATGTTAATTTGTCATAATACAGAATTCAATTGTTTTTGGTTAGCTAATCATTAATAAAGTTATTTTAACCGAACTATAATTTTGTTTCTAAATAGCAGTTTAGAGTTTAAAACGAAAAAATTCTGGGAGAAGTCTTACTCGGATCGATATTTCCGACAATCTCTATAGCAAGTCTGTTGCAGTAGGAAACATCGTCAATATCTATGCTATTCATTGCGCTCCTGCAGGACGTCATCAAGTAGGAATCCTTGCTTTCTTCAACGTAAAACATTGAAGTTACCTGCAATGATATCGGTACACATATCTGGAGTTTGGTCGTATGTTTGATGATTGTCGGTTTGGTGCTTTCAGCTTGCTAATTGCTAATTACTAATTGCTAATTACTATGATCGATTAAACATACTATTTGAGGACTTTTTCATGTGTAGTTATATCTGTTTTAAGCTTGTCCTTCCTTATCTTATGTAATTATCAGCGATTTCCTTCGACACCAATAATTCTCAGTTAAGTGATGTATTCAAGAGAGTATTCAGGCGTTGTGCTTCTTTACCGATATGAAACGAATTCATCATTTTGAAAACAAGATTCAAAAGCCCAAATGGACCTTAGCAAATATATAGAATATAATATAGATATAATGTTGGCTACGATGAATAATACCAATAATTTAACTGCATCTACCAAGTACTGGTATTTAGTATTTGCCTGATAAAGCAGAAATGCTGATAAGAGCAGTTATCATTACGTCAATACGTATACTTAATGCTTGCTTTTGTTTTACCCGCCGTGAAAACTTCATCGATGCAACTACGCGACTCTTTGTATCATTTTATCCATACGTTTTTAATTTCTGATTTAGTCATCATGATTGTTGAACATGTTATTTTCGTGCGAAACACTTTATGTTTTATTGAACATGTAATTGATTTTTTAGTCAATGATCTTAAAATCTTAAAGGATGAAATTTGCTCTATCCGATACCACTTTGCAGATGTCTAACTTAGTTGAGGTAAATGACTTGAACTTGCGCTGTAATTTGTTTACAAACTTTAATCTTCATTCTGTAAGTAAAGAAACTTAAGAACTGCTAAAAGATAATGTTAACAACAGATGTAAAAGCACGTACATAACTAATTTATCATATTCAGGACACTTTCATAGGACAGCTGCCAATAGGAGAGTCAACGAAGATGATAGACTCTGTTAATGTAAGATTTAGGCCTAACACAGTATGAATCAAGTTACGGCGAATAAAGTTTCCCACAAAATTGTGTATGCCCCGTTTTATCCATTATCCTTCGTGTCAACAAAATACCCATTACGATTTGTGAGTTTTCAATGTTCTTTGAAAAATATTTCAGAACATCAGTATGTTCAACCTTTGAACAATATTTCAGAACATCAGTATGTTCAACCCAGTATTCGAGTCAAGCAGACTCCCCGACCAATTCCGTAAGTTTATAATCAGTTAACAAAATGTTTATCGAACAACAGAACGAGGAGCTACAGTTGTATTTCTTCTCATTATCTAGTATACTTAAAAGTTTCACCCCAACAATTGTAATGCATATTCTTTCAGAGCAAGTGAACGAGACAATGTACTACGATGCTCTTAGTCAACCGTTATACGATTACAAGCAACCTACTGCTTACAATAACTTCGAATACAGTTCTATTAACACTGGATTTCCAACTTTCAACCAAAATCAAGGTCATTAGGAAAATAGTAAAATCAGATAAATGTCTAACAAAATGTTCTATAAGAATCATTTATTTCGGGGAGGATATTAAATACAACAGTGAACACCCAGCTAAAAGTAGACAGTTTCAGGAATGGAGGAGAGGTATTCAAATCAGATGCCGATACCTCACCCTTATCTCTCTGACATGGGACAGTCTCAATATCCTCTACCACAGGTACTCTATCTCCTTAGGTGGCGAAACAAGCTCTTTCTCTTTCTCATTCTCTTTCTCATTCTCTTTCTCATTCTCATTCTCTTTCTCTTTCTCTTTCTCTTTCTCTTTCTCTTTCTCTTTCTCTTTCTCTTTCTCTTTCTCTTTCTCTTTCTCTTTCTCTTTCTCTTTCTCTTTCTCTTTCTCTTTCTCTTTCTCTTTCTCTTTCTCTTTCTCTTTCTCTTTCTCTTTCTCTTTCTCTTTCTCTTTCTCTTTCTCTTTCTCTTTCTCTTTCTCTTTCTCTTTCTCTTTCTCTTTCTCTTTCTCTTTCTCTTTCTCTTTCTCTTTCTCTTTCTCTTTCTCTTTCTCTTTCTCTTTCTCTTTCTCTTTCTCAGTACTCCTTATGAAGTAGAATCAGTGCCAGTTTTACAACTTTACAAGTATCAAAATAATTGAAGATAACTAAAAGTAGCTCTCTTTCAGGAAGCACAGTGGCAAGCAGCGGGTCACGGTGAGATGTTCTGTCAAACTCCGGTTACAGAAACAAGGTACAACCCCCCACAAGACTCAGGGTACAATCCTAGTTGCCAGATATCTGGTGGGGGTTTCCCTTGCAGTGGTGGTGGTGGTGTCTACTATAACGAGTCTATCAACTCATCAGGTTAGTTAAAGTGAGGGTTAAAGTAAGGTTAAAGCGAGGGTTGCTGCTGAAGCTGGGGAGGCACAACTTTAAGTTGCAGGTTACAATCATGTACTTTAACTTACATCAAACAAACTGTTCTTTAGCACACTCTGATAACGTGACTCCCAGGATACAGTTCAGAGTGCAATTCCACCCCGGAGTACCAAATACCGCACTCCATGGTAACACCTCTCCATGGTAACAGCATGGACAGCTGTTACGATGACAATATCGCCTGCAGGTATGAACTTTTAGAACTTTGCAATTATTTCCCTAGTTCGCTGTCATACAAGAGCTTTTATTTCAACACGTTTTGATCTCAGGAGATAATGGATGTACTCTTTCCTTTTTAGTTTTCCCAGAGCTACTGTTACCATAAGGACTTGATTTCCATATGTATATGAGCATTGAGCAGTCACTGTAATTTTCAGATTAGACTGGAGTGATATGCTAGAAGACACAACCCAGTCCATACAGGAGTCTTCCAAAGAGCTAGATGAGATAATGAGTTTGCTGAAGGAGCACTTAACAGAGCCCACTCCAGAGCCCACCCCTCTCTCCCAACCCAGCACAACGGTAACACTCAACAGGAGGAGAAACAAACGGCCGTGTCCTTCTCCCGAGACTGGAAAACATGCCAAAAGTTAGTTCAAGATTTATGTGTTTTTTATGTGCGCCGTGACAGATCCGGCAGCTTATTCTTGTTTATTATTTGAAAACATTTTGATATTGATCGTAGTCGTTGCAAAATACCTTATCAGACTTTATTTGAACGGACATCAAATGAACGCTGGAGCATTCATTTTATGTCCGTTCAAAATTATGTCCGTTCACGCAATATCAAATGACGTCCAGGTAACACAGGCTTTAAGCGATATTTCTCCTTCAGAAAGCAGGAGAGTGTGCCCTGAACCGAGACGGTATAACACACCCACAGTAACTGTTCTGTCAACATGGCTGAGGAATAACTTGAAGAATCCTTATCCTACTATCAGTGAGAAGAAGGAGCTCATGAAGAAAACTGGGCTCGACCGGGGACAGGTATTTGGGAACTTCGTTATATAACATATTCATTTTATTGACCGAATATCTGACATTACACTCGTGTAATATAGATTCTATTTTGTAAATCTTTTGAATCTTGTAGTTGTAGACCTTCTCGTATTGACCACCCGTCCAATTTGAACCGTGTCCTGGTTGATTCCTTTTTTAGCCCTCCTGTTCATGATGTTTGAATTTTACTTTTAGATTAGACAGTGGTTCGTGAACGCTCGTAGAAGATATGCTAGAGAGGGGAGGAGACCAATCAAAACTACCCGATAAGAAATCTGAATTATGTTCAACCAAAATTGTGATTATTCAACCAGTGTAAATGCTATGCATCAATTGTAAATATAAAATAGGTGTAAACTTAATAACCTTATTTGAAAAATATTTAACATTTGAATAAATGAAACTTATATTTGAATCGAGGATTCGCATCTTCGAGTTCATCAATAAAAAGAGTTCGCTTATTTTTCGTATAATTTATTCATGACTGTACAATCAAGGAATTATTTACCAAACTGATGTAACTTATTTATGTTAATATATTCAATTTCTAATCACTGCTTGACAGTGGTTAGGTTTTACAATGATGATTGATTAGTTTTACGAACAGTATTTGTTTATAACTATTGCTTGTTTAACAACTTTTTAACAATTTGAATACGTTTTAAACTATACATTTCACCCGATTATAAAATATTATTAAAGCTTCATTGCAATCAGAAACTTAATAGCAGTGTTTGATTTTTAAAACTTACAAGAGAAACCAGCATAAGAGACGATAGGGCAGCCACTTTAGCCAAACGTATCCTGAAATGTGATGAACAATGAACATGAGATAGAAGAATAAAGGATTTTGTAAACGTTTAAAAAAAACTAAAAACTGAATTGAAAATCTCGAGACGCTTGTTTGAGAAATAAAATACATGTAAGATCGGGTAAATGAAGCACACGATATCAATGCAAAGTTTGAATAGTTTTGCAAGTTGGCCTCATTATATAATACTTATATATTACCAATATATCACTGAAAACAACACCCCCTCCACACGTTTAACTTATATTTTAATTGCACCTCTGGGCAATTCGGTAGTGTGGCATAGCACGGTTAACGCACGGTTAAGGCACGGTTAAAGCACAGTTAAGGCACGGTTAAGAAGGCACGGTTAATGCACGGTTAAGGCACAAGGGTTACATAAGGCACAGTTCTTAAGGCATGGTTAACGCACGGTTAACGCACGGTTAACGCACGGTTAAGGCACAAACTGCCCAAAAGCAACCATTATGGTCGCTTAAAGGCACGGTTAACACACGGTTAACGCACGGTTGGGAAATATAACCTATAAACATACAAGTGGTTAACTAAGGCACATGATCTGAATGTGACGATCTGTAAATTTTACAGTGCGATTCCCGCTATGAGTAAATTTTCTAATTCTAAAGCAACAGCCCTGCTTCGTTTGACCGTCCTATATTTGAAATCCTTATCTCGATTAACGATCTCTTCAAGTAACTTAGTAACCAGGCTCTTCAAATTAAGTTAACATCTCCTAGATCTCACACCTGTTTATTTGAGCGAGGTGATCTACACATCCTACTTCGCAGTCATGTATTAAACAGGATTAAACAGGATTAAACATGAAATTACCAGAGAGAACACTAACGGACTCGTCTTGGCTATACAAGGATGAATAAATCAATAAATAAAATTATTAAAACTGAATCATTTAAAAATTATTAAAATTTAACCGTTTACAATGTCACGAAAATAAAAGAAGATCGTCTATAATAATTGAAGGTAATACAGTAAATAAAGTTCGAGTACGAGGATTAGGACTTATTTTTAGGATTTCGAAGGTTTGAAGAGTCTGTTAGGTATTTCCCGAATTCTTTTGTGTGACAAGAGTTCATTATGGTCCTATACTCTTTTAGCATTACAAGGCTTTTCAGGTTATCAGAAAGCTTTGAGCGGAGGGAGTGGTATCCAGGGCATTCAGTTATGACATGATCCTCAGTTTCTAGGATAGGTGTTTCAAAGAAAGGTAGCTCTTCGAAAAAGCGAATGACGTCTGTGTCTGGAGAGCAGCAAAAACGACACGTTTTCAATGCTGTGTTGTATCGATCACTAGTATATCGACCTTTCTCTACCCTCAGATCGTGACTGCTAGAGCGAAGTTTAGCAATGTTAGCTCTCTTAAGCCTGCACGGAATCTGTAAGTACTGTTCTTCACCAAACTCAGGTTTGACCGCGGTGTAGAATGACATCTTCGGCTGGTTGTGAAGATCCTTTTTCCAGTGGTTCACAAAGGTTTCGTGTATGTGCTCACGTGCTGCAAGAGCGGGGTGTAGGTTTGGTTTAGCGGAGGTGCTCATCTTGATGATAGTGGACCAAGTGTCATACCAGGTAAGGTTCAGTTGTTTCTGCTCCTGAAATGTATGGTGCAGAAGTGTGTTCACGTTACCTACTACCGCTTGTGATGCTCTATAGAAGTAGGCAATACATTGAGGGAGGACGGTCACTGTCCAGGGGGTTCTTCCTGTGTCGCCGTAACAGAAGTTGTTATTTGCCTTTTTGTGGACACCCAATATCCATTTAAGAATTTTTAGGTGAGTAGATTCGAGAGCATCTTTTGCTGCTGCTTTTGGGAGACTCACTTCTTGGTTTTTTGAGAGAATGGCTTTCGCGATGTTGGTCGATGGCAGCCAAACAGGGCATCCGTATGTAGCTGCTGGCTTGACTAAGCTATCGATGAGTTTTAGCATCGTGCTAGTGGAGAGTGCTCTCGTGTCAATAATTCGTCTCATAGAGAAGAACGAGCGTAGAGCTTTTTTCCTAAGCTCGTCGATTGCTTGTTTGAAGGAACCGTTCAGAGAGAATTGGATTCCAAGGTAGCAGTATTTTCTTACTGGTGCGATGTCCAAGTTTCCTAGTTTAAATCCTTAAGCACATTTGAGTATTCGTGAGCTTGTGTTAAATACCATCACACTGGTTTTGTTGATGTTCACAGACAACTCCCACTTTACGGCATAGTCATGCAAGCAGTTCAGCAGTTTCTGTAAGCTGTCCGCATCCAGCGCTAAGAGGACCAGGTCATCTGCCCAAAGGAGGTGGCTTACTTTAACACCGTTTAGAAGAGGTACATCCAATTCCTCAATTTGTTCCAGCCTGATGGAGAGCTCGTGGATATAAAGTTTGAAGAGCTCAGGGGACATTGGATGCCCTTGTTCTGTACCGATCGTGACGTCAATGGCTGCGGAGAGCTTTTGGATCAGCTTGACTCGGGTTGAAGAGTTGTTGTACATGTGACTGATGCATTCGAAGAATTTGCCTGCTATTCCCATGTTGCTCAACTTGAACAGAAGTGCTTCCCTACATACACTATCGAAAGCCTTGCGATAGTCAACAAAGCATGCGAATAGTCGCTTCTTCTCTTTCTTGGCGTATTTCTCAATGATTGTATTTAGGGTGAGTATGTGGTCATTACATTGGGCTCCACTCCTGAATCCAAGTTGATAGGGTCGGTCAGGACAGGCTCTTTCTCTGAATTCGATTAACCGTTTGAGGAGTAGATTCGAAAAGAGTTTACCGAGACAGCTCCCAATTGTTATGGCCCGATAGTTATCAGGGTTTTGCCGGTCACCCTTCTTATGGAGGGGAGTTGTGATGGAGTTGTTCCAGGGGTAAGTTCCATGCTGGAGGCAGGAGTTGAAGAGTTTTACCACGACGAGTTGGAGTTTCTCGTTGGAGTTTTTCAACATTTCGTTGGATATCAGATCATCGGACACACTCTTATTGTTTTTGAGTTTTTTAGTTGCATCTTTGATTTCCTGTAACGTGAAGTCGCGATTCAGTTCATCGACCAGTTCCTTGGTGAGCTGCGAATTGTTGGACAATGGAGTAGAGGTGACATCGTCCCTTGAGTGATCGTTCCTACCACACTTCCGGTTGTAGAGATCATTAAAGAATTTGTGGAAGAGGATGAGATCGTAAATGTCGAATGGTTCTTCATCTTTGTACTGGTCAGATAGCCGTTTGAGTGCTGCCCAGTTTACATCTCCACTTTCGTTTATCTTCTGGTTCATCTCATACAGGAATTTCCCCTTTTTCATCCTCGGTATTCCTTTTTTCTGAGGAAGTGCTGGTCACGAAGGAAGTTGCTGTGTGGGTTACTGTTGGCATTTCTGTCGGCTCTGTTGGCCTCTCTTTTAGCATGTCTACAGCTTTGGTCAAACCACTTTTTCTTACTGGTGCGTTTGCCACTTTTGGTCGTAGTAACAAAATTCGCAAGATTGTGGTATGTTGCAACCACGTCTTTATTAAGCTGAGCAGCGTCGTTTGCTGTGTTCACTGGTTGATCAAGGAGGCAGTCCATTTTGTCTTTGAATGACTGATCATTCTGTGCCAGCCGGAACTTAGTTGCTGTGTCTGCAGAGAGGTTCTCTGATAAGTTCCATTTGAAAGCTTTAGGTGCATCTTGGATATCTGGCGATTCAAGACTGTTAGAAGTCCTTCTTAAAGGGTTTGTCGATATTGACATTGACAGCGCTCTGTGATCGGAATATTGAGAGATGCTCTCAATTTTCAGGTGGCGGACTCTGTCATGAAGACTCGTCGAGACGCAAATGTAATCAACTGTGCTGACACCATGCCGCTGAATACAGGTGGGTTCACCGAATATGTCGCCGAGAGTTCTGCCATTTAGGATGACTAGGCCTGTCATCTGAAGGAGTTCGATGAAGGGTCGCCCATTCGTGTTTAGCTTTGGGTCTGAGTTATTGCGTTTAGCCAGCTTTTTAGAGAAATGAGCGTCGAGCTCTGTATCCTTCATTAGACTATGGTCTGATAACATGTCGTCCAGAGTGCCAGTTCTAGCATTGAAATCCCCGAGAAGAATGATATCCTCGTTCAGAGGAACTCCAGCCAGGAATTCTTGAAGATCCTCTAGAGTTGACATACTGTCTTCAGTTTCCAGACCTTTTCTTCGCTTCTTGTAGGATCCATTTTTGGGTGAGTCATAGACATTGATAATATAGGTGTTTCGGTCTAGGTCGAGGTAGTTAGCTTTAAGCTTAACTACAACGATATCTTCCGTGGAATTCATACGAACGTTGGTTACACCAGCTTTTAAGCTTTTGTGAACTCCGATGCATACTCCACCTGAATTTGATCCCTTCCTGTTAGAGTTAAAGCAACAGTAGTTACTTAAGTTGATCTCCCTTTTGTTTCTTGCAGAGCAAAAATATCGTGGTTGTCAAGTAGTTCACGAATTTCGGTTATATCAACCTTGGCTCCTTCAATTTTGTCCCGAGAGTGGTTGATATTCCAGCACAGAAACTTAAGGGAGTGGCGGGACCTCGTTGATGTGGGTTTAGTCATTGCTAAACCTGTTGGTGCTGCGTCTTGTTTTATCATTGTCGTGGTAGCTTATTCGGGGGAGTCGCAGGGTCTTCCTCAGACCCTCCCGGAGGCGAAGCCAAAGCATCTTTTGACCTCTCTGCCTTAGCTCGAATCCAGTGTTGAACGAATAAGAATTTTGATCGCCAATTTTATCGTTTGAAAAGGTGAAGATCCTATCTTTGACATCCGGCCTGTGTTTGTGGAGCCAGCTAACATGGTTTCTGGTCTCCTCATTGACGACTTGTATTCTTTCATTGATGCTAGAGTTGTTGGAGGAGGGTATCAGCGCTGAAAAGCATATTTGAGCCTTTGTGGTGTTCAGTAAATGTTCGTAGAGTTCCTTCACATTGCTTACAAGACTTGATTTCTTTTTAAGGAAATCATTGCTCCCTGTGTGTATGTAAATGCACTCAGGTCTTAGTCTTTTTATAGTGTTGTTGAGCTTCTTTGATTTTTTCAGCATATCGTAGTAACTATCTGCTTTAAAACAGTGAACATTAAACTGACTGTTAAATCGCCTCGGGTCAAACTCGTCAAAGCTCTCATCATGGATGAGAAGAACTGTGTGACGCCTGTAGCTAACCTTAGCTTCAGCGGCAGAGTTTGTTTCACTGGAACCCCGATCGGGGGGGTTAGTATGTTCTATTCTGTTTCCGAGGTCATATTGGCGGCTTCTAGTGTTGAGGTTCTCCCGACTTCGCCTCATTTCGCTAGAGGGTCGATCGCCTCTAGAGCCCCTTTCATTGTGGTTTTTCATGTTCTGCTTGTTTGCCACCGTGAATGGCGTCTTGTTGCTTTGATCAACCCTCTCTGCCCAGGACATCTCTGCTTGCTTGAGCTCGCTTTCACCTGAACGTGCTGTGGCATCGCTGGAGCTGTTACGGTGTACTCTGAATTTCTTGCGTTTGAGTGTTGGCTTGGAGTTCCCTGTGGAAGGACTATTGAGTGCCGCTGGTATATTATTCACTGCGGGTTGTTCAGCAGCGTTTAGAGCTTGTATCGTGTCCTCTAAGTTGATCTCCAGGGTTTCAATTCTGAAACTGTTCGATGCGCTTGTGGTTTCAATTGCCTCGACGATGGGGCGAAGCTCATGTTTAAGTTCTTGGGTTGAGGCATGTGATTGATTGAGTGCAGACTTGGCAATTCCTTTCGTGGCTTTCGTCAAGTTTTCTTGGCCGATCTCGAGGGTCTCGATCCTCTGTTTGTTAGCGGAATTGGCAGATGACAATACTTTCAGAGTCGTACTTTGTATCGTGTTTAGTTCGTCCGAGAACTGAGCTTTGAAGTTGATCAGTCTCTCGAGAATTAAGTTCTGCTCGTCTACTGCTGATCTAAGTTGGTCGAGGTCAGCCCGAATTCCATTAAGCTTGGTCTCTATTGGGCCAACTTTCTTTTTAAAGATGGATGACACACATTTTTCAGATGTGGTTGGGGATGATAGGATGAGGTCAGAGAATGCTTTTTGTTGAAGCATCTCTTCTTTGAGTTCGAGTAGACTGTCTTGAAGTACAGACATCGAATGTTTCAGGTCTGAGCAGTTATTGCAACCGTTCAGGGTCAGGTGATCCTCAGGGTTATCATCACGAGTTGGTTGGTTTCCATCGCTGGCTTCCGTAGTAAGCTCATTGGTGATAATCCTAGCATCATTTGTAACGGAGGCATCAGAGGTTTTTCGGTGAGATTTCTGAGTGTCACCTGAGATGGATAAGCTTTGATCATCGGTGCGTTTCCCTCTCTTTTTCTTTTTGTTGCTCTTCCCCTTTTTCTTTTTCGGAATTTTAGGGCATTGTTGTGCCTGGGGTGTTAAGAAATCAAATTTTGTGTCGGAGCTGCCGGATAACGGTCCACCAGGGGTTATGTAATCGCCCGGGTCGTGTAAACTTGGCTCGCTATCAAAATGTTCCGTATTCTGCGACTGTATGACGTTACTACAAATCGAGTTTCCAGGTGCTTCCTCATTTGGACTATCGAACACTAGCCTAGTAATTTCGCTGCTTACGTGTCGGTTTGTGCAGAACGTAACCAGGTCAGTTTTCCTTTCCCTGGCTGAATTGCTCAGTGGGAGGCTGTTTGCTAGGAGCTCAAATTTGATCACGGTGTCCTCCAGTTTGTTTATTAGGTGTGTGACTAGTTTTGCGGTTTCCTTAGAACCAGTGGTCTCACAGGTTTCGAGAAGGTCACAGAGCTTCTTTTTGTTGGTGGTGACATTGTTGGAGCCTTTCAATCCGAGAGACGATGCTAATGACACCAGTGCGCTCTTTTTGTATGTGTTTGCTGCGTTTTTAAGGAGATCGAGTGTGATGTATCTAAACACGATGGAGGCGCTATTGTCCAGATTAGGTACTCCGAGAACCTTCTCTTTACCCGATGTAATTCTAGCAGGCTTTTCGCAGATGTTGGACTGCTCGTTCAAATTGCTTCTTGGGTCGAAGACTGCAACTGGGGAGTTGGTGACACTTGTTTGGTCCTCACTGTGTTTGATGAAACAAGGGTCAGGAGGAGGTGGAACACTGTTTGAGATATGGTGAGATGTTTCATTGGTAAACGCAGGTAGACTGACGGCTGTTTCTTTAGCTGATGCTGGTGTGGTTATGTCGGCAGCAGGAGGCTCAGTTTCGTCCGGTTGCGATTCCGTTGCTTGAAGAGTTTCTGGTTCATCAATAGCTTCTACTACGTTTTCGACATACGGGATGATCAGGACTTGTTCGTCACCGCCCTCATTTTTCTTTAGCTCAGGAGAGAAATAGCAGTGAAGATGTTTAATGGAATCTGGGTATAGAGTAACGAGGCTAAAGTTACCTAGACTGACATCACAGACTTCGGTGTCTTCTACGGCTGGGTTAAACCTGAGAGGGGTGATACTGAGGTCTCTAGGTTTTCCTATATGTAGAATAACAAGAGGCATATTGTCATCTTTATGAGTGTTCTTCAGAGGCATTCTGGAGGTCCTGTCAAATGAATATATAATTCTGAGCCCGTTGAACAAGGTATTTTTGTTTGTTAGAGCTCCAACACGGTTGTTTATGGTTGCGAGCAAGGTTTTAAGGGAGTTTTTGTCCTCAGGGTGGCCAGGACTGGGTGTATTTGGCGGTAGACCTGAAGTAAGATCATTGCACAATGCTTTCACAACACTGGGTCGCCAGAACAATTCGGTGCAGCTTGATTTGGCTTGGCCCGGCGTGATTTCTGGTGAAACTTCACGAAGGGCAACTTTGATTTCTGACTGCACGGAATCAATTGAGATTTCGGAACCTTCAAAAAAAGATCGATCACTCAGTTCAAAGGAATGACCGTCACATTTATGGAGGCCTTGGCCCTGGATCTGATACCTACCTGTGATCTGTATCAGATCACATCACCTAACCTTGCTGCGTGCTGACACCACCCGCACACTTATCAATACATGCAAACTTTTGATCTCGTTGATCAGCTGACATGGATCATATGATATTGTTATTATCTTAACAGTTACTATTGTAGCTTAAGATTTTGAATTTGTATTCCTTGTATTCCTTGTATTCCTTGTATTCCTTGTATCCCGAAATAAACAAGCTCTGTCACTCTATTACAGTTGTATATAAACGCAGCTTTATTCAACACAATCATCCCATCTTTTCATTGTCTACTCTTAAAAAAAAGCCTGGTTACTTGAAAAGATCGTTAATCGAGATAAGGATTTCAAATTAGAATTAGAAAATTTACTCATAGCGGGAATCGCACTGTAAAATTTACAGATCGTCACATTCAGATCATGTGCCTTAGTTAACCACTTGTATGTTTATAGGTTATATTTCCCAACCGTGCGTTAACCGTGTGTTAACCGTGCCTTAAGCGACCATAATGGTTGCTTTTGGGCAGTTTGTGCCTTAACCGTGCGTTAACCGTGCGTTAACCGTGCCTTAAGAACCGTGCCTTATGTAACCATTGTGCCTTAACCGTGCCTGAACCGTGCCTTAACCGTGCCTTAACCGTGCCTTAACTGTGCTTTAACCGTGCCTTAACCGTGCGTTAACCGTGCTATGCCACACTACCGAATTGCCCACCTTTGCATAGTTATACATCATGTAGACTTCATGGGCCAACTTGAAACGACAAATGATCGATAGCATCTTTTAAGTTTATAACAAGAAACACAGCAGTACTGAGTACTCACGGAGGTTGAGTGCTCTCGGTCAGTGCAATGGTGTCCCCGATGGAGTCCGTCGTGGTCCGTCGAGATAGTTGGATCTTACCGTCATCTGCACTAGCGTATTTTTGAGATGGTAACTCCGACACCTGCACACAATCGGGTAATGGACAGCTGTGAGCTAAAATAAGATATGTACCTTGAAACCAGAATTTAAAAGGTCTAAAGTAATCTCAATCTCCGTAACTGCTACCATTACCATAGCTTATCATTGAAAAGGCCCTAAGAAGAACCTTTTCGTACGGGATAAAACTGCTCCGGGTGAAAAAGTAAACTGGCATAGTCTAACCTGCTCGTAGGGGTCATCCAGCCAGTCCCGGAGTTGTACGACAGTCCCGGCTTCTCCACTGGCAGTCCTCTTCTCATCAGCACTGTACTTCCTGCCTCCTGGATAATCCATCAGACGAGAGTTCTCATTCTGTCGGTCTGCCATGTGAAACCTTAGTGTGAAGTTGTAGTTTCTAGGCTTAGTGTGAAGTTGTTTGCGTGAGTTCCGCGTGGAGCTTTAACCGTGTGGTGGACCACGAAATAGAGCTTATGATGATGGTACTCTGGTAGAACCGGGTGTTATCCTGATGATCCAGTCTGACAAGTCTGATATACTGGTTTAGGTATTTGGTTTGAAGCTCTTCGGTTGTTGTTATTTGATAGTGTATACACGTGATGCCCATATAAGGAGTGTATTTTACGGTACCGTTGTGGAATTGGAACAGAACGAAGTGGGCAGTGATAAACTGCCGAGTAATCTCCTTGAAGTTAGGCAGTGGTAAGCTGCCAGGAATTCCTTTGAACTTAGGGGATACCTGTCTTCAAATTGTGAACAGTTAACAGAAATGGTTTCATATTTTGAACGGTTTTAAGGCTAACAGCTACAGAAATTAGACAAAGTGTCGATCTATAGAACTCAATATGATAACAACTATTGGCCCGATTTTCGTAGCAAGCAAAGAAAGAACAAAATAAAAGATTAGGCAGGTGAAGGTGGACGATTCTCAAATTAAATCTAACGTGTAGCTATTCCTTTACTCTACTAACTATTGCACATTTTCTGGGAATTGGCATTTTACATCCTATTTTCAGTGAATGTAAAGGACTCTTAAATAGTCGGAACTCAAATATCATGGTTTTTAATGTGGTCATGAGCCATGTCACGTGTGGTTATGTGACATGTCATAATCATGATAATGAAATTTGTATAAACCAGTTGGTTCAATTAGGCAATTTGTCAGTATCAATTGTTATAAATATAACGTCAACATCAATGAAATAAAAGATGTTTATCAATATTTACAGCAAGAATACTAGGTATCACGTATAACTAAATTTAGTATGACCGCAATTCGAAGAAAATACTGGACGACACTATACTAAGAAATCTGGTCATTAAACTCATTCCATTCATATAACATGCTGGAAACGCTGGACTCATGTTGTGACTCATGTCAGGGTGTCTGCATATTGGACAGGTGCCAGATTAGAAGGAAGTAAACACATTTGTGGTGCAGGATATTTGGCTTGTATAATGGTCATTATACAGGCAGCTCAGTAAATCTTCATTTCATGGTCATCCAGATAACGAACGAAACAGTTTGCCTATATAGATCTAGAAGGTTGGGAACTCTCGTCTTACCATAAGTTTGGTGAGCTCGACAGATTATCCAGATTGCAGACAGATGATCATACGTATCTGCTGACTAACTAACAACCGCATTTACAATATGTAAACAACTGCCAGAAAAAAACAAACTTTAAAATGCTATTAAGTAGAATTTATAAACAAAAAAATGTATTTCGATCGTTTTACAGCAAACTAAAAGGGAGTGTGAAAAGTAGCTCACTTTCACGGACACTTTGACAAACGTTAGTGAAACGTCCACCAACTAAACGACAAAACTTACTACTCAAAAGCAACTTAGCGCAAGTTGCTCAAATATCAAGCTTTCTACACCATATCAAACACAGAGCACACACACTCAAAATACAATTCTGATAAAAGCAGTCCTATCAGCTTAGCAGACTAAAAGTAGTCTTTCAACCCACGTGGCACGTCCACTTAACCACGTGCAATTATGCTGCATTTGCTGGATTGTAATACAGAGAATACCACGGGCGAGCTGTATAGTGAGCTGTATAGTGAGCTGCAGTCACGGACACCATTGTCAGAGTTAATGAAACTGTGGGTTGTATTGTGTAGCTGGGGTCAATAGTATCATGTGTAGTAATCTCATAATAACAATAATACATGTAGTGTAGGCAGGAGGGTCCGGGCGCTGTGTATTGAGTTCCGAGCAGGGAGATTAATTTGGTGACTTGTGGTGACGTCGTCTCAGGAGATTCTTATTGCGAAATATGGATTCTACGTAAATCTGGGAGATTTGACGTAAATATCATCAAATAACGTGAGTATTTCCGTATATTTCGATTTTGGTGGCATTTATCCGCAAGAATAGACCTGGATATTAAAGGAAGCGCAAACCATATATTTTGTTTAGCTATAACAGTAATGGATTAGAAATCGGAGTATTTTTCAAACTCCACCAGCCAACCATTTACCTGGAGCTAGGTGTATTAATATTGGTGTTTTGTAACACTAAATAATATCATCCTAAAATGATGATTCTCATAATCTAAAGGGGTCGTTCACATATTAAGGTGGTTCATCAAATGTGGAGAATCGGGTCTGGCGATTAATGATATGAAGTCAACCAGATCAAGCAGAAGAACAATCCAGACAATTACTGAATCTCATAATCTGTATTTCCCTTCCACAATCCCTAATTAAAATCACATCGTCTAATTATCTGTCCCTGAACGATAAGGACCCGGTTTGATTAACTTCATTCCACGTTGAGACACGTATGATAACTAATTCCCACAAAAAGAGGGTCAAATTCTCACCATTACGTATCTTATCACCTCACGACTAGCTGCGAATTTCTTAGAGAAAGTTTAATCTGATTTTACCGATGTTTGTTGTGTACCTGTTACTTGTCCTGGGGGGTCAGAGTGAAGCTACATCTGACGTTGCCGAGGGATCCCCTCCTGACTCCCATGATACCTGCCACGCCCTGAAACAAGCAGCACAACAGATCAGAAGAGAGGGGTACACTGCTATAGACAAAGCAGACTCTATCAGGGAGCAGGCATATCGGCTTAAAGATGAAGCATATGAGGTTAGAGAGAGCGCAATGGAGGCAAAGTCAGCACTGGAGACGACTCTGGTGGAGACGATAGCTTTGGTTCGGAGTCAGAGCACTGTAACTAACCTGTATATCCAGGAGATGCGGAGTACACTGAGTGAAATTAAGAAGAAAATGGAGGATATGGAGGAGAAAATGGAGGATATGGAGGAGAGAATGGAAGAGAAGATGACAGGAATGGAGGAGAGAATGGAAGAGCAGGACAAAAAGGAAGAAGATAGATTTGCAGCTCTGGACGAACACTCCAAAACAGTTGAGAGGAAGATATCTGAACACGCGGCAGTCTCAAGCACCATTTCAAGCCATGTTTCTGAAACCCTTTCCACAGCACTCACCCTCAAGGAACGACAAAAGGCTCAGATGTCAGAGGTACGGATTATCTCCTTATACAAGATAGCCGAACAAATTAACACCCATCCAGGTGGTACGTTCGACGCGGATCTTGCAGTGGATGGTATGGTCACGTTTGATAGACCTCATTGGGCGGACATGGCTGCCTATACTCACACAACGAACTCCCCAGGCAGCAAAATTTTGATAGAGCTTGGAGGACTTTTCAGAATATATAAAATTAAGGTTTGGAATCTGAGACACTGCTGCCAAGAGCAACTCATTGGAGCACATATCTACGCAGATGACAGACTCGTTGGCACTGTGATTCGTGCGCAAGGAACGTACGATTTTACGATCGGAGATGAGGATCCTGTTTATGCGAAGGAGGTTACTCTACAACAACCACTGGGACAACAGCTTCACATTCTAGAGCTGCAAATCTGGGGCACTGGACCCTTCTTAGAAGACGACAAATTTGATTAAAGAGTTGTGAGATTTTCTATAAAATTAAGTTTTCGACTGTATTATTAACGGGAGATACCCGTACAATATTATTTATTTGAAATAATGCAGAATATAATATTGTAAAACAATTTAAATCCTTTATCTCCGAAAAAATTACAGTTATTAGGACTACAATCTTACTAAGGGGTCGTTCACATATTACGTAATCATTATTCGGTAATTTTTAATGGAAAAAATAAACAATGTTCCAGTTAATGAAATCCATAATGAATAATTTCAAATTCAGTACAACTACAAAGTAATGTTTTGATCATTAACCACATTTAACACATTATTTATTGAGAAGTATAGTCAGTGACAGTAGAGAATTAAGTTAACACATCAAAGTAGTACAATACAATTCACTTCGTAAACAGCCACAGCAAATAATTTATGTTGTTAACAATAACATCTGTAAGTTATGCTTTTGTTTATAGAGTTATAGTCCGATTATCCGTTTTACAGTCTAAAATAGTGGACTCTATAGTATAAACTTCAGTATTTAGTGGACTGATTGGTGCTGAGAGATTCTGTCTAGAGAGGGCGTCCACAAGGACATTTGTGCTCATCTTTCTTCTTCTTCTTCTTCTTACCAAAACACCCACTGTCACAGTACTCCTTACCACAGCACTCACCAGCACAAGGAGCACACTTACCACAAGTGCAGCACCCGTCCGGACAGCACCCGTCCGGACAGCACCCGGCAAAACAGTCGCACGCACAGCAGTCAGTGAACTTGCAGCACTTGCAAGCACCGCAAGTGCCCCCACAACAAGAACCATCGCAGCAGGAGCAGGAGCAGCAGTCTGTCTTACAGCACCCACAACAGTCACCACAACTACAACCTTTACAGCAATCCCCACATTTACCGCATCCGCAACAGTCTCCACATTTCATGCAATTACCGCAGGCTTCACTGCATTTACCACTACATTCACCGCACGGAGCACAACATTTTCCACAACCATCTTTGAGGGAACCACAGCATTTTCCACAAGGATCACAGCATTTTCCACAACCATCACCACACTTGCCGCAACATCCCTTCAAAGCACCGGTGCACTTCTCACAGGGTGCACATCCTCCGCAGGTGCAACAGTTCTTGCACATCTTACCACAACAACTGAGACACTCCCCACAATCACCAAACTGGCAGCAGTTAGCGTCACAGCACTCAGCTTTACAGCAGTTAGGTTTACAACAGTTCCCACAAGTGCAGCACCCATCTGGGCAGCATCCTTTGAAGCAGTCAAACTTGCAGCACCCGGTTATCTTGCAGCACTTACAAGCACCACAAGACCCTCCACAGCAGGACCCTTCACAGCAGGAGCAAGCACAACAATCACCCTTACAGCACCCACAGCAGTCGCCACAGCTGAAACCAGCGCAACATGAGTCGCATTTGCCACAACAATCACAAAAACCTTTAGCACAGCTGTCACAGCAGCCATCACAGCAATCCGCACAGCCACTGCAGTCACCACATTTCTTACAGCAATCACCGCATTTAGCACAACAACCCTCGCAGCAATCTCCACATTGTCCGCATCCGCATTTTCCACAGCAGCCCTCACAGCTCTTGCCGCACGCTGTACAACAAGCACTGAGCTTACCACAACAGCACTCTCCGCAGCCTTTACAACAGTCATCACAAAGCGTGCAGCACTTGCAGTCCCCACACGCTCCCCCACAGCACCCACCATCACAACAACTACAACAACACGGACCACCCTTACAACATCCACAGCAGTCTCCACAAGAACAGTCACTGCACTTACAGCAGCCCGGACAACTTGGTCCACAGTCACCACACCCCTTACAGCAGGAGCTGCAGCTCTTGCAGCATTTACAATCATCACAGGCCCCTTCGCAGCAAGCCCCATCACAGCAACCACAACCGCACGGTGACCCCTTACAGCAGCCACAACAATCCCCACAAGAGCAGTCCCCACACTTACAACAACCTGGGCAGGAAGGACCACAGCAACCACAGCACGTGCTACAACATGCACCACATGTACCACAAGCCTTGCCCTCATCACAGCAACCACGTTTAGCATCACTCTTTCCAGAGTGGGGTGATTCAGAAGTGGTATCCTTAGCAAGCACATCAGCGAGGTCCCCAGATGACTTTCTTTTTTTCTTCTTCTTCTTTTTCTTCTTCTTGTCTCCATCACTAATGTTACTGCTATCATCCCCAACTTTACTGCTGTCATCACCGTCACCACCCGAGGCCGGACAACCACAAGCACACAAACAGGCAGGGTCTCCAGCTCCATTACCACAAGAACACGGACACAAACAAGCTGGTCCTCCTATGAGGATCACTCCACCCGGACACCCGGACATAGGTCCACTCTCTGGTGGAGTGCTGTGGTCACAAGGGTTGGGTCCAGCGGGGGTTGATGCACAAGGGTGCTCTACTGGGGCTGCTGGACCTGGTGCACTGTGCTGACAGAAATCATAGACTGGGGCTGTGGTTTCTTCATCCTGTTCGTAGTAGAACGAATAGCACTGATGTTCCGTCATCCTCTGATCACCGCACCGAATCTCCGGATTTCTAAAATCTATTTAGGAGCAAAATACTATGTGCTTAAACCAATATTGAACGAACAGGTAAAATGATCACAGTTTAAATCAAATTCATCGTATGCAATTAAAGAATGAACATATGAACTTGTGGTGAACTATAACAGCAATTATTTAATATCTAAGGCAATCACGTCAAAATTAGTGTTATTTATAAAGTCCTAAATTACAAAACTGTTAATTGGCTTACATATTTTTATAATATTACCTAACATCCAATAACTAGTTCTATAGGTTATCAAGACTGGGGAAGGATATTTTTAGATGGTATACTTCAAATCCAATTAAAAGTACTTGACGTCGAATATCTTATTTGGTGACACTGACCATTGAATTCATAAAATCCCAAAGAAATTGAAAGGCGCAACAATGGTACACCGAATGTTTCTGTCTCTGTTTGCTTAAACAGTTTATTTCAGCAGAATATCACAATAACCTAACGTCATTGTCCCCTAAATCTTGGACCAAATGACTTAGGTTTTGATAACCCAAGAGAAAACAGCTTTTTCGATTTGACGCTGAACGCAACCACACGTTTTGGCGGATCCACCCTGTAGGTATCAGGTTTGTAAGAGTACTGTACAGTATTGGGTTCATTGCAGGAACAGAGCGTATTGGAACACACTGCACGCGTCAGAGCAACATTGCACGTGCAGTGTTCACCTTTACACATGCACACCTCAGTTTCTGAAATGTAGGTATTCAAGTATTCAGGTCCTGATCCACTGCAGTCACAATGAGGATGGCATTGGCCGGAACAGAACTCTCCACCCGGTCCACATGAGCAGAAACGGATATTATCTCCATAGATCACACTGCCACACATGTGTAATGTTGTGTTGTGAGTGTTGAATTGTGGGTGTTGAAGCTGAACTTGTGAACAGTACTGACTAGTGCATGAGCCTTGAACACAAGTGCATTTGTGGTCGGCATTATCAGCTATTTTGCAGTCTCCCCCCAAAAGAGGGTCTGCAAATGGGAATTGTATAAGGTTTTCAGACATACGATTTATTTGCAAGGGTTCGAGTACTGCTTGGTTGGGTTCATGTTCCGTGGGAGAGTCTTTAATTTCAGCTTGAGTAGGTTCATGATCTATAACCTTGCTATTTACTGGAGTGGAAACAATGGGTACGTTCTGCTTAAATACTAATTTAGGATTCCCAGTATTTGGAGGAATATCTGGATTCTCAGAAATTTGCAAATTCTGAGCACTGACGTTCAGATGTACGGGAGGATAAACAGGAGAATAAAATGGGTGGGTTCCGACAGTAACCTCAATCGGGAACTTTGGTTCTGGCACCTCTGGTACAGATTGAACCTCAGGGGATACCATTTGCGGATGCACATGCACAGTAGTCACTTTCGGTAATTGGTTAGGAAATTCTGTTGCCTCAACTGGCACAACCGGTATTTGAGTATGCTCACTTTGAGCTTGATGGGGCAAAAAAAGACCAGATTTAATAACTTCATGACTTGGGTCACCAAAGTCAACTTGAATAAGTTGATTTGGGTAAGTTTGACGATATGATGCATGAATGGAGTCGCCTGAGGAAGGATCTGTGACTTTTTGAGATTCAACAGAAGGTTGATTTGAATCACCTGAAGTAGTTAAATCATGCTGAGATTCATTTAGGGGTTCACCCTTCGCTGTGTTGTCAGATTGAGATGATGTGAGCGAATCCGTGACCCTAGGGATATCGGGTGAGCTCGAACTTGAAGTCTCATCCTCTGAACTAACTTGACTTTTAGTGCAGGAAGTATTATGGGATGCACTGGTCGAAGTACTGACAGATCTTGAATCACTTGAAGTTGATGAGGCTGTGTTGCTGGCAGCAGAGTCTTCCACTTCAGTGCTCACTGAAGAAGAATCTGAACTCTCTTCCTCGGCATCCTTTGAAGAAATTTCAGTGGCATTCGACTCCAATTTATCATCTGATGATAGAACTATTGAACAAACAGACTTATTTTCTGGACTTATTGAGGAATTTGGAGAGGAAGTTTGGGAAGTCAATGAATCCCTTTCCAATCCACAGGCAGTAGAAGCTAATAATTCAGATGGGGCATCTCCGTTCGCATTATCATGATGTTGGTATGTCGCTATTTCGATGTTATTTGTAATAGATCTTGGTACATCATTCTTCATTTCATCGACGATCACGTTCACCAATACTTTACTATCCCCAATAGTTGTTGGACACTGGTTAGATTTCTCATTAGCAGTCTCCTCCCCACTGTCACCAACACCTTCAGTTGGTACTCTGCGATTGACAATCACATTCACAAGCATCTTATCATGCTGCGACTGCACATGAAGACCTTGCTGCTCTAGAAGCAGACATCCCTTCCCAGTAATAGATCCCTTCGAGGAGCCCTTACTGAGTTCATCCTCACTACCTGGTCTAAAGGGAGATTCTGGTATTGTTTCTTCAGCAACAGCTTCTGAGTTGATATTTTCGTTAAAAGATACCTGACGCTGTCTTTTTTCTGTGGAATTCTTATCTTTACCACTGGTATCAATCAAGATAGGGTTTATTGCAGATAAGATACCTTTTCTGTCATTTTCAGATGACCTATTTCTATCATGAGCCCTGAAGATCTCGTCAGTCTCATAACTTCCTTGACAGTAACCAGTATCTGTAATTGCAGGTTCAGGTGACAGATGAACTACGATATCTTTCACATCGGTCTCTTCTCTTTTTCCAGGTTCAGGTGACAGGTGAACCACGATATCTTTCACATCGGTCTCTTCTCTTTTTCCACAAGAGCAGGCTGACAGAGGATCACATTGACATATTTCCCTCTGTCCACAGACACAATCTGCGGCGGGACAGAAACACACTGCTTCCTTGAAGGAGATGGTAACAGCTTTATCCACCTCCTCGCTGTAAGCTAGATCATGTTGACAAGTGCACGACAGACCAGTACAGGGCTGACACCTGCAATCTTCCTGGCAAACACAAGGCTGCTCAAGTGGGCTGACAGTACGGATATTGATAGTGTGTTGGCATTTGGAGAGGGATAAACAGCTACAGGTACGGACTCTCATGGTGACCTTTGTGCACGTGCAAGAATTGGGCGCGCACAAGCAGCTGCTCCGTGATCGACTCCGATTAGGAACAGCAATCACTTCAGAAGAGGTGGCAGCTATATCCAATCCATTAGTACATGAGCAGGCATATCCTGGATGACTAGAGCAGATCACTCGTTTGCCGCACCTGCACGCTTGGGTGGGATCACAGGAACATGAACTTGTTCCATTGATTTCAACTCTACCACTCAGGTCCTCCGTCTTGATGGCTGTGTGGCGACATTTTGAAGATGAAATGCAGCTGCAGTTCCTGACCCTAACAGATCCTCTTTTAGTTTTACAATTGCATTTACTTGGTAAACAATTACAGCTGCCATTGTCAGCAACAGTTGCTTTTTCATCATATTTGTGTCCTGCATATTTATTTTTAGCGTCAACATCATCTGCTCGATCAGCGGGATTCTGTTGCACAGGAATCTCTAAAGATGCTCCTCCGGCTCTTCCGCGGAGAATACACCTACTACAAGTGTTGGGATCATGCTTACGTGTGGCATCAGATACCACTCCAAAGTCTTCAGCCTGTTCTCTGACAACAACTTGACCATCGGATTTAGATGAATTAGGATGCTGTAGAGAAGTGAAAGTGTTGGTCTGGCAGTCATTCCAATGATAACCAGGGTGCTGAACATTCTGACGGGGAGGATTAGCCGCTAATTTGTGAGAATCAGCATTTCTTGAGTGGTTTGGTTTAAAGGTGCTAGGTTGTTGCGAGTGTTGTTGCGAGTGTTGTTGCGAGTGTTGTTGCGAGTGTTGTTGCGAGTGTTGTTGCGAGTGTTGTTGCGAGTGTTGTTGCGAGTGTTGTTGCGAGTGTTGTTGCGAGTGTTGTTGCGAGGCACTCGATTCATGAGACATTTTGATAAGGTTAGACTGAACATGTTTTGTTTGAGTTAGGAGGCTAACTTTTTGAACTTTGTGACCAGATTTTGGACTCAAATGACTAAGTTGTTGTCTTGCTGTAACTGCAACTTTCTTAGGAAAGTAAATTCCTTTAACATTTGTATGGTTTGTTGATTGGACGTGTGCCGGTTGTTTCTTTATGTCATACTGATAGGGTTTTGCAGTAGCGAGTTGAGTAGTCTGACGAATTACATGACCTTGGATACCCACTTTTAGGTCGTTGTTTTGGGTCCTTTGAACATTCAGAGGTGCTTGATTGCCTGCTTGAACTTTAAGTTGACGTTTATCAACTATAGAACTCGTGACACCTAATTGGCCTGGATGGTAACTTAAGGATCTATGATTGGAATTGTGATTTGAATGTTGAAGTTGAGAATTAAAATGAGATGTGTGGCCTTGATACTGAGGGACAAATTGTTGGTTAAGTGCAGTGTAACCAACTTGTTGGTGGACCACTTTCTGGTCAGCTCCAGTTTTTTGATGGGTATTGGTCTGGTTATGGTTGGAAGTCATATTCCTGGCTGTGATGTTGTTAGGGTGTGAAGCAGCAGTCACATTATGTCCGTATACCCCATTCATATTCAGCTTACTTGCATGGACCCAAGCTGCCTACAGAGGGATCATATGAAATTCAATACGCATAGATTTTCAAAATATTTACTTCATATACATTGCTTGGCGAAAAAGCGTCATGAAATAATTTCATAAAAACTATATTATTTAGGATCAATAGTATACAAAGTACTACGAAACGGAATTCCGGCACATATGTATATCAAAAGAACACCATGCCGACACATAAAACCATTGCAAGTGCATCTTCGACAAATCAGGTCACGACAAAAATAGTTTACAAAGAAAAATGATGAAAGTTAACACCAATTATGTATTAGCCCTAGAATAAGGAAATTGTAGCTAGTTGGCTTACATGTTTGGAATAAGGATCTATATTTTG